TATTTCTAATCTCGGTCAATAAATTAAATCTACCAACACATCTAATAAATGCAATCCAATTACCGAGATTAAGAATATGTAACCAATCGTTAACTTAAATACTTATTGGAGAATCTCCCTGATTTATATCCCTTTCAACACTTTACATTCATACTGTACCATAAGGGGATTAGAAGATTGGTACAAATGTGTTGAATGTGCTTGTGTCGAATTTACATTTGGTTGGTTTCTTTGAAAATTAGGATAAAATAAATGTTATTTAGGGCATATGGTACTAATTATATGAGAAGTGAGATGCTTTGGTTGTGAAACGAGAACAAGAATTATATATTGATTTCATTTTAATAATAGCTTCATTAATTTCTAATGGTAAAAATTTGACTAAGCCTCCAGTTTTTCCTTACAAGCTTATATATAGAGAAATTTGCATCTATACCTTGTCAATTGGAGACAGACAAACCCTAATAGCTGCCTTTTTTAAAATGAAACAGATATATGAAGAGAGGATGCAGCTGGAAGTCCTATTGGAAGTGCTAAGCTAAGCTTAACTTTGATGACAGAAAAAAATGCATGTCTGAAAAGCTTTTGATGTACATTAACAGAGCTCAAATATGAGGTTCAGCATGTCTTAGTTAGATCAGTTCATGATTTCCTTGTCGTGTAAGCCGATCTGATAAACACGATCGGTACATGTTATAAATGCGATACATTATTACATCACATTATGTCACACATTTTGCATATCTGAATGGCTTCAATGCAGATGGAAAATTCTTAGATTCATAACTTGTGTCAGCCAAGTTGATCTCATCAGCTTGAATGGTTCTTATAGTTTTCTCATAATGTGTTTTTGTGCAGGCATTGGCTTAATTTCCTCTATTTTCCACGAACTGATATGTGATCCTTCCTTATTAATTAGGGAATATGTGCAGTTATAGACTACTGGGAGGACACAGGTTTGCCAGAGAGAGAGTTGGGTATATTTTGTATATTCTAAGTCTAGTTTGTAAAGCCCCAGTGGCTGGACCTTTTTGCTGGTTCATTTCCAAACAGAAAGAGGATTGATGAGGCAGGCTGGCTGGCAGGCATGCTCTGCGGGCCTACACCCCAAAAGGCTCTAAACACATTGGGCCCCGGAAACAATCACAATATATATGGAGCTAGTCCCAATTGTGTCATGGATAGCTTTATCGCATGCACTAGGGTTGTTTTTACACGAGAGGAAATACAGAGTAGGCCCCGGAAACAATCACAATATATATGGAGCTAGTCCCAATTGTGTCATGGATAGCTTTATCGCATGCACTAGGGTTGTTTTTACACGAGAGGAAATACAGAGTAGTCCTAACTTGTATCATAGATGTCCGCTATCTATAAATTAGACCAAAAAATATGTAGGGACGGATTTAGAATTTCAAAATGAAGTGGGAAAATGTATCTTACGAGTAGATTGTTAGATATTAAGTTGGGCTAAACCCGAAAACCTATCTTTCTTACCTGGACTATAGCTCAGGTTAGACATTTCATTGGTCCGTCGCTACAAAAATAAGCACTGATATCTCGAAGAAAAAAAAAACTACGAAATTTATGTAATGTAAGTATTAAGTACACAAACCATAAAGGAGGATGTGATGGCATTGCACACCCTATTTTGTGCATAATTTGGATTAAGATGAGTAAATGATTTGTTTGTAGAAATGTTAATCAAGCGAGATTTACCATCTTATCTAAACAAAGCTAAAAACAAAAAAAGTAAAAAAAAAGTAAAAAGTTGAAAGCTATAGTAGGAACGTAAGAACAACAAGTCATCTGGCTTGAATTGAAAAAGAATCAGACAGTAGTTGTGGAGGAGGCAGAGGTGGGGCTTGAGTATTAAGGGGTGCACGTGGGCATGATAAAGCTGCCATTTTGACCAATCACACACTTTGTCGCTTTCTCAATTGTGAGGTGGCGGATTGTAATTGGGTCCAGAAGAATTTTAAAAAGATGAGTGGTTTACCTTTGCTTGGCCTACTCGTACATTATTTTTTTCACTGTCCTCTGTTTGGGTTGGGACCAAACAGCAAATAGTAGGGAAATACTGTTGGATTCTGACTCATCTGGGATTATTACATATTGCACGTGCATGAGACTTATATCATCAACATATTCATAATTTGCATGAGGGTTCATAACTGGTTTTATTAGACTTGTTTATACAATAACCAGTTTTTTAGGGTTTTTAACTATAGACGTCCTTGAACTTTGTCTTCAATTGTAATTAGATCCGTGAACTTTTATTTTTAGGCAATTACATCTTTTAACTTCACAAGTTGTTCCAATTGGGTCCAAACATCCAAGTTTGTCAATTTGTCCGTCAAAGTGAGGGGTAAAAGCATCCTTTTGAGCTGCAGAATCATTTTATGAGAATGATTAAGAACAAAATTGAATAAAAGGAAAATCTTGGATAAAATTTCACTGAACCCAACTGTGCTTAGCAAACCATGTGGCTCAAATTGAGGTGGTTTCTTCTTTTATGAATTCTCAGAGCAAAGACGACACAAATTTTGTACTTTCTGGTAAAAATATAGAAACGCCAAAGTGTTAGAAGAGAACCCATTTCTTATAATTACCGTTCGAGCCTTCTTGGCTTTCTTTTGAGCGAAAACCACCAAGCCCGTTTTTCTATCTGACAATTTACAGGCTTCGTTTGTGTTTGTAGCGAAGCTTTGAAGCAACGAGGAGGAACTCCATGAAAGAGTCGATGTTGTGGATGCCATTGCCACACTTTCTTTCGCTCTTACACAAGCTCACACTGTCTCTCTCCCTCTCACACATACAATCTCTTGGGCTTTATGAGATTTATGAACAGGTTTGCAGACATGGAGCTGGTCATCGTGAAAACTCTAATATACCTCTCATAATAAGAGTATGTGCCATTCACACGGTCAAACTCGACGGATTCTGTTACGGCATGACCCAAATGGAACTACTTGTCAAGTTAAAGGATGTAATTGCCTAAAAAAAAAGTTCACAAACCCAATTGCAACTGAGGGCAAAGTTCAGGCACATCTACAGTTAAAAACCTTGTTTTTTATATATACTCGTGAGCAAATCAACTATGTTTTAGATATGAGTTATAGAGACCTCATATCCCATCTTAGCTCATATTTTTAGAAATGTTCGGGATATAGTTTCATCGTCATTTGCGTGATTGATTCTTGACCGTTTTTACATTGTAAGTTCCACTTGCATCAACGACTAACATCAACGATTATTTCAAACATACCCCAAATGTGAGCGGCATCACCCAAACCCATCCCCAGTGAGCTCCGCTCCATTCCGCATCTCTAAGCAGCACATGAAGTCTTGACTTAGGTCTATTTTAGCCTGCAGCTTTCATTAGGGAGTTAGGTGGCTGTGTGTGTACAAGACCCATACCTAATTTCACATCTTGCTGTTACAGCTAGCGCTTCATTAGGTATCTGTCACGTACGCCTTCCTTCTTAAGCGCGTTTGCAGGAGTGACCCTGCTTACAAATTTGTAGGTATATGTGCTTCAAATCTACAGATAAGGTAAGGTTGCTAATTATAACAAAATGACAAGCCATATTCACATTGTCCTACACAACTCATGCCATTCTATTTATATAAACAACATTATCCTTCCATTTGCTCATGCTAGTGTGTCTTCATCAAAGCATGGAAATTCCATGGACTATATATCTGATTGACTATATTAGTTTATACCTTGGTTTTATTTTATTTTTATAGGAGCAATATTGGAGTGGGATTTCGAGTAATAGACTTCAATTGCACGAGTAACTGCACTCTTAACTACTTGAACTACTAGCACATCAATTCTTAGTTTATACATCGGTACCCATGAATAAGATGTTAAACTAGTTTGTTTTTGTATGTGTGAAAATAGCATGATGAGTTGAATGGTGGTAAAAGTAATAGTAGTATTTTTGTTTTGGGATGAAGAAGATGAATCCAAAGTAGAATTAAAATTGTCCAATCATATGGTACGAGCCGCATGTGATCACCCATACTTTTTTTCAAGATGCATTTGAAAGCTGAGTTGACAACACCATAAAATTCAACAACAAAAATAAGAAAAAAGTTACACAGAATTTTGACACGATATACAAAACACTCATCACCATAGACATTACTTGGCTAGCAATAATATATGAAATCCTGCTTTCTTTTTCTTCCGGGAATATAGAGCTAGCTCCCCCTTTGGATCTGCTTCTGCTTCTCCCTGCTTTATTTATATGACTAAAGAAATGTAGCTAGTATTTTAACCAACCTTCCCTCCCTCTTTCAAAAAAAAAGAAGAAAAAAAAGCTGTAAACAAGGGGCTGAAGAATCTCTCCTTTACTAGCTATAGCTACTAGTGATCCTTTTATATCTATGTAGATTACTTTGGCACCATTAGAATGAGATCGATCCCTGCATGCGCTAAATTATAATTGACAAAGTTATTATGTACTTAATTTCTTTCACTGTGCTTCACCTTTATTTACTCAATAAATTAATTAAACTAGTGAGCCCGCTTGAATTATGGAACCAAAGCTAGCTAGCTAGCTAAACTGAAAATTCTGAATAACTGGTACAAATATGCACAGAGAGAGAGAGAGAGAGAGAGAGAGAGAGAGAGAGAGAGAGAGAGAGAGAGAGAGGTGAAACACAGCTTCTCTAAAATTGGTTCCAAATATCTAATTAATTCAAAGATTTTCTATGGTACAAATTCTGCAGAAGAAAGAAAGAAAAAAAAAAAAAAAAAAAAAAAAAAAAAAAAATTAAAACAATTGTCATTGTGCATCATGACATTTCTGACATTTCTCATTGCTATTTACACCTCATCATTGTAGAAGGGTGACAGAGGGAGAGAGATGATTGATGATTTGCTGAAATTTCACTGCAGCAATGGTTGAAGATGCTTGCTTGCTTTGCTTTGCTTCGAGTTGGAAAAAAATTAATGGCTGATGTTGAAAACTTAAACCAATTGCAAATTAGTCATGCCAACAGAGAAGCATAACCACACATCTCCTAATGATGTAGAGCCTCCCTTTCTGCTGTCTAAGATACCCTCCAAGCCTTCTGCATGAAACCCTATTGCTCCTCTTGTTGGACTGATCAGCTGCCATGGCTGCACTGTTAAGCTTCATATATCTCTCTTGCTTTTCTTCTCCTCCTATAGCTTGCCTTAACATACAGAGACTTGTAGCACCTTGGTTTTGGTATGTTTGAAAGGAGAGGCAAGAAGGGGTTGATATAAATAGAGGGGTCTGTGGTCCAAGGGTTCCAAAAGAAATATGCACAAAAGCTAGCCCAGGCCCCCACCCAACCCAACCCCAAATTCCAAATTCCATGCACTTAAAATTTTTCAATTTCCAATTTCCAATTTCCAAATTACCCCCAACCCACCTCTTCTATCTTCCCTGACACGTCATCCTCTTCACCAACATTTATGTGGGCATCAACCACCGAGAAAATTGGTCGGCCATTCATAAAAAAGAAAAGGAAAAAAAATAAAAAATCCTCAGAAATTTTTTGAGTTTCTAGATATTTGAGCAATTTAGCCTGAGTGTTCCCCAGACCCTGAATTATTAATATTTCGTTACAAAATTTTGTTGTTCCTGTGTCATGTCTTGTGACTGCAATGCATGCTGCACAAGGAAAACAAGCATAATTGTTGGTATTGACCAAAAAAATAAATAAAACAGAAGCATACATAATTGTTCATATAATTTCATGATGAACTCTGCTCCATATAACTCTTCAAAACGAAACAAAAAACCCTGCTCTCATATCGTACGTGAAAAGGTTCCACTTATAGTCTATTAATTTTTGTTACACATTATATTTTAAGAGCAATTTCTCCTTAAGAAATATCATGGGTTCGAATCCTAACATTCATATAATGTGTGTGAGTTTAATACGCTATCGCTCTTTTCAATAAGAAAAATCCTAAAGGAAAAAAGGAAAAAAGATTTCATTGAAAGTTCAAATTTCCAAATATCCCTTTTCAGAATCATATTGAACTCAAATGCTCTGAGAATTTGAATTATCAATGCAGTTTAATATTTCATAAAAATTTTAAAAAAAAATCATAACAATTAATATAACAATATGACTCTAATTTTTGTATTTGTAAGTCTGTGAGATTAGGGGAGGTGTCTAGTTCCAATTACATGGGATGTCCTGTAGGAGAGTACTGGTGGAACTCATGAAATGGACAGAGAGACAGCGCATTTGTGTACAAATTACTATAATATTGAACCTCGAAACCCAAAATTTGCAATATAATCTGCAGTGCCTTCTTCAAACCCAACCAAAGTTCAAATAAACTACTTGATTATGTGATTATTTAGCCTAAGACGAGACATAATCCCACATGTTTAGTCTCGTGCTCCTCCCATATATTTCACTTGGGTGCATTGGGAAAAGGTCAACTTAACCAGACCATGAACCCCGTCTTCCTCCCTTTCTTTAGTCTCGGGGAGTTTATGCATAATCATTTGCAGTAATTTGAGTTTGATTAGGGCTGAGCAAATAGGCTGCTCCAGCAAATAGGCCTCACTTGGTAATGGTGACCATTTTACCAAGAAAACCGGAACCCGACAACTCAACGTACTCTCATTTTCATCTTGTACTTACTAAAATACGGAATAAAAAATTATCAAATTTATCTTGTCGATTTAGTTTAGTATTTGATATTAAACAGAACTAATTCAACTCGTATCCACCCCTAATTAGGATTTGATTACAAGATCTTTTCAATCTTCATATTTTGGGGTTCTGGAACTAATTCAACTCCAAGTACTAAAATAATTTTTTGGGTGAACCAAAAGGTGGGTGTTTTTATTTTAGTTTTTGTGGTTCTAATAAGATGTATATTTCGGTTTGCGAGTAAGTTTGATAATGCTTATTCTAACTGTCATCCACCCAAACGAATGGATACATAAATATAAATAAATCCCATCAAATCAAACAAATTATCTTTAATTGGAATTGGTTGATTACAGAAGAGTCCAGACATGTCTTCTCCATCATTCTGATTAAAGACTAAAAAAAAATGTAAGCTAAGCTGAGCCTTATCTGAAAGTGGGCCTAGCTAGCCCAAAATTGAATAAGATCTTTCAGTGCTGCTTGGCTTCCAGGAAGCTACCAAAAGAAACAGTATATTTTGGAGGGCCCATATTATTAATGAAAAATAAATACGCGTACCTGTAAGACTATGAGAGGTTTTGGTCACAGGAGACACAGTCCATCAAAAACTGATCTCAAAATGCACTCTCTCCATTGTCAAAAATAAGTCCAGGTTCTTGTCTCATCATTGGCAGCTTACGATCGAACTCAGGTGTAAAGAGACGGATACAGTATTTTGACTAACTAGCCTTACTCACGTTTGCTTATTGGCCGGTATTTGATTTGTTTTTTCTTCTTCAATAAATTGCAGAGGATGACATGGCCAAGCTAGTCCCATTGGCATGGCTGTAAAAGCACAAAGAAGACAAGCCCTGCACGTGAAAGCCTCGTGAGGGACATGGACACTGCCTGTGATATGCTAAGCAACCTAGATTTTTGCTGAATGTTCATCATTAGGGGGGAGCTGTCTGTCCGTTCAATGTTTCTTAATTCTTTACAACTGTTTTGAATGTGGCATCAAAACAAAAGTTACAGTGGACAAAGTTTGTCTTGGTAAAACCAAAGATTGTGTTTGTCTCCTCGTATCTCTAAACTGTGCTGTTCACTGTATTAAGTCGCCTAAATTTTCAATTAGATTCTACAGATCTGAACTAGGATTTAGCTGCTTCGTCTTTTGTTTTTCTTTAATTAATAGTGCCAATCAATTGAGTAAATTGTAAGATGCTTTTGGTTCCAACAAATTCTAGGGGAAACTGAGAGGAACCTTCCTATCGAAAGATTAGATTTAAGAAAGATGTTAAGGAAGCTTAACTTTTCTTCCAACATTTACCTCAACTTTTCATATAATAGGATTAGTCCTTCCTACATGGATCATTCTATATGAGATTGAGAGAGTTGGGTTTTTCTTGTTTACGTGAATTAGGTCAGTTGGTCAAGGCAATGTGTCTGTCCTTTGCACTCGAGCTTGAACCTCTTCCCATACATTAGAATAGTTTCAAATTGATAAAATTCATGTTGCAGCAGCACAACCCAAAAAAATGGAGTTGTTGGGGGTGTGGAAAGGGGTAGGTGTTGGAATGGTAAGTGATGATAACATGTGAAATGATTGGTGCTGATTTACTCTCACAAGGGAGAATGATTTTTAGAAACAAGTATAAGACAAAGAATGAAGATGAAGGTTTCACATTAAAACTCCAGCAAATCCCAAATGTTTAATATCTATGCACAACACTCCACAAATCCCAAACAAGATGGACCACCATGTTCTCTCCAGAATTCCTATTTTGTGGCTATCTTATCTTCTTCATGTGTGCTTTTGTTTTGGTTCATGATGGGTGTGCATATGGCAAACCTCACACAAGACAGGGTGGTCCTTCATCTTGTAATCTCTTAGACGGTGGACACATGTCTTCCCATTGCTTGAGCTAGATGCTTGATATAACCACATAGGACTTCTTCATCTTCATCTGAAACCTAACCAAGGGTTGCATGACCACATAAAAAAAAAAGAAGGTCCCATGTTTGATCAGCCTTGTGACTTGGTTGGTCCTCTTCACTTGATAATTTAAAATACTCAATGTCTATAGAGTAATAGGGCTCATTACATTCGAGTTTTTTTTTCTTCATGTAAGCGATAATTTAAACTACTCTAATTTATGAGAAGAAATAAAATCATTCTCAATGCCCGGGTTTCTGGTGGAGTGCTCTTGCCGGGGCGGCGGTGGCTCTCGTGTTTGTTTGGGGTTGGACCTCACTTCTTGTTTCTTTGGGCTGTAGTTTTCCTCTTTTGGTTGAGCTTGCTTGTATTTGTTGGGCTTCCTCTTATATTTGGATGGGCCTAATATGTAACTGGGTTAATGGTAATTGCATATGTTTTATCCCTTTTTTTTTACAAATTTATAAATAAACTCAATCCTAGACATGTATTTATAGAAAAACCCAAGCACTATTTAAACATAGAAACATACCCAAAATCAACCACAAAGTCAACTTTTGGGGTGTGTTTATAATTGGATTTTGAGTGTGTGTAATGATGGGTTTTGGGTGTATTTATATGTTTAAATAGTGCTTGGGTTTTTTTATAATTTAAGCCCCCATTTTTGGTGTTTTAGTGAAACACCCTTTTTTTTTCTGATGAACTAGGAAAAGTAAAGTAAAATGTGCATTTCACTGTCCAAATAATGCATGCACAGACAGAAAAAACCAAGAGCTGAACCTGATACAGAGGGACAACATGCCAATGTTGGGCGAAGTATATATATTATACAAATTTATAAATAAACCCAATTCTAGACATGTATTTATAAAAAAACCCAAGCACTATTTAAACATAGAAACACACCCAAAATCAATCCCAAAATCAACAATTGTATATTTTTTGGGTGTGTTTATAAATGGGTTTTGAATGTGTGTAATGATGGGTTTTGGGTGTGTTTATAAAGTGTTTTGGGTGTTGAGTTTTTTTATAATTTCAGCCCCCATTTTGGATGTTTTAGTAAAACTCCGTATATATTATGCAACACTAGTGACTTCCACAACTACCATATGCGAACCCAGATAGAATAAGACAAAATCCCTTTTGCAAGCAGCCAATGAAAACAAGCCAAGTGCACACAGAACCAATCAGAACACGCCACGTTCAGCCTAGGAAATTTCAACCAATCCCAACCCAATCGAGGCAAATCCCCTCCCCCACATTGAACACACAGTAAATTAACCCGCTGCAGCAACAACAGATCATATCATTATCATAGTGGTGAAGATATTGTTAGATAAGGTTGGGCGGGGGAAAGGGAAATGAAAAGAAAAAAGGAGAAGGGTTTTCAAAGTCTCAAACAAAAACTCAATACATTATTATTCTGGAGACGTGAAAAGCAGGCAACTTGTTGGCAGTGTGGACCATAATATCAGATCAGGTACGGTATATACAACAGCATAGGGTTTTTGATCAGGGGGGATGAACTTTGCATCAAACAACGTAAAATTCTATGCGAACCCATCAACTTGCTCAGTTGGGTCCTACTTTTCATATACATCCCACACCAACTATAATAATAACATCCCATATTCCATGAACCAAAAAAAGGTTGGTCCTCTCCATCTTCAGTTCCTAAATAAATACACGAAAAAGGAAAGAGTTCGATTCTCGTTCTCCTCTTCTCCTGAATCAAAATACCCACAAAACCTTTCAATCCATATAGTCTTTGTTTATTGAGATCAATGGATGTGTTGACTGTGAGCACAAGTGAGGCTGCAAATTCGAACAAGTTACCTTCTTCTAGGTACAAGGGAGTTGTCCCGCAGCCAAATGGCAGATGGGGAGCTCAAATATACGAGAAGCACCAGCGTGTGTGGCTGGGAACCTTCAATGCCGAAGAAGAAGCTGCTAAGGCCTATGACATTGCCTCAATAAGGTTCCGAGGCCTCGAAACCATCACAAACTTCAACCAGAATCAGTTGAAGCCTTACATGGATGGTGACAACGAAACCCTTTTCTTGCAGTCTCATTCCAAGGCCGAGATCGTCGACATGCTTCGAAAACACTCGTACACCAATGAGCTTGAGATGTACAAGCTCAAGCTGTTCAATGCTGGTGATGATGATGCTGCTAGGAAGAGAATTAAGTGTCACGTTAATTTGATGGAAGGTTATGATCATCAGAGGGAGTGGCTTTTCGAGAAAGTGGCGACGCCAAGCGATGTAGGGAGATTAAACCGTATGGTCATACCAAAACAACATGCAGAGAAGCATTTTCCATCGCATCTGAGTGAGGAATTATGTAAAGGGGTGCTGTTGAATTTTGAGGATGGTGAGGGGAAAGTTTGGAGGCTTCGATATTGTTATTGGAGTAGCAGTCAGAGTTATGTGTTGACGAAAGGGTGGACTCGTTTTGTGAAGGAGAAGAAGTTGAAAGCAGGGGATGTTGTTAGGTTTGAGAGATCGAGAGGGGAGGAGAAGAAGATGTTCATTGACTGTAGACCAAGAAAAGTCGAGGTTTCGGGGCTCGGAGAGATGGCCAGTAGGGTTGAAGTTGAAGAGCCTCTGTCGAGGGTTCAAGAAGATGATGGAGTGGTAAGGTTGTTTGGAGTTAACATTGTGGAAACATGTAGTTGTATTGTAGACAATAACATGTGTTGGAGGCTTGGAGCAAGAATAAGTTCATAGAGCCCCATTTCAATGAACTTGGATTTGTACAAGTGTGACAAAGCTTACCATGGCATATAGAAAGAATTTTAATTGTAGCGGGATGTTTATCTTTTTTTTTCTTTTTTAATCAAAGAATGAAAAGATTATAATCCCATCCTTTTTATTCAAATCATTGAAATTAAGTTGTTGAAAGCAGTTTTGTTCGAATTCCGCCTCTCTCAATATCGTTTGAATTAAAAAAAGAGAAAAAAAATTTATTTTGTCAGAGAGAACATCTACCCTCATCATATAAATTATTTGGTTGTTGCTCTAGTGTTCGCATCAAGCTTTTGAACAACAAAATGCCTAGAAATAATCAAAAGATTGAGGGAGTTCTTGTATTATGCTTTTGCACCCGGGAGTTGACTGAAAACAGAAACTAATACCAACAAAGAAAGTTTGGATGGCCCAACATCAATGTAACGTGTACTGAAGCTACCCACTGTTCAGTTCAATTACTATAGTGTTGTCTTGATGATAGGGAAACAGCATGTGCCTATGGCCCTGTGCTTTTCAATACCCTAAATAATATAACACATCCCACACGTTTAGAAGCACTTGCTACGCGCTTTTTATGAAGTATATTAAGGGCCTGTTTGGAAGTGCTTTTAGAAGGGTTAAAAGCGCTTTCTGATAACTAAAAATGCTTCTGACAGCGTTTGGCAGAAAAGTTTAGAAGCGCTTTTGGATCATAGAAGCGCTTTCTGGAGAAGCACCTGCTATGTGCTTCTTCAAGAAGCACTCTCAAGTGCTTTTCCACGAAACACTTTAATTTTTTATGAAAATTCTAAATTTTTATAATAAAAGCACTTTTACTATAGTGTTGTCTTGATGATAGGGAAACAACATGTGCCTGTGGCCCTGTGCTTTTCAATACCCTAAATAATATAACAGCATCCCACACGTTTAGAAGCACTTGCTACGCGCTTTTTATGAAGTATATTAAGGGTCTGTTTGGGAGTGCTTTTAGAATAGCTAAAAGCGCTTTCTGATAACTAAAAGCGCTTCTGACAGCGTTTGGCAGAAAAGTTTAGAAGTGCTTCCTAGAGAAGCACCTGCTATATGCTTCTTCAGGAAGCACTCCCACGTGCTTTGGTTCATGATAGGTGCATATGAGTGCTTTCTGATAACTAAAAGAGCTTCTGACAGCGTTTGGCAGAAAAGTTTAGAAGCGCTTCCTGGAGAAGCACCTGCTATGTGCTTCTTCAGGAAGCACTCCCACGTGCTTTTCCACGAAGCACTTTAATTTTTTATGAAAATTCTAAATTTTTATAATAAAAGCACTTTTGTTAGAAGCGCTTATGAGCAGAAGTACTTCCTAGAGAAGCAGTCCCAAATGAGCCCTAAGTGTTTTTAGAGTGTATTTGAATTTCTTATGAAAATTTCAATTATTTGATTTTATAGTAAAAGTGCTTTTGTTAGAACCGTTTATAAGTAGAAATTGTTCATTAGAGAAGTAGTCTCAAACGAGCCCTAAGCATATAGAATGAATTAAGTATTTTTAAAAGGGAAAAACGCTTATATTTATAAATTTGTATAAAATATAACCATATATTTTTGGCTTGTGAATCTTGTTGGGGTTCAAATTAAGAAAAGGCAACGAGAAACTTGTAGCAATCACAGATTATTATGCGAAGAGGTTGTAAGTTAATAGCATTATGGGCATGTATGTAGTAAATATGAGAGTGTTGTGAACGAGTTGTGTGGTGCGACATGGGATGGGATGGGTGTTAGGTTTGGGTTTTTGTTTGTTTTTGAGTACAGAGACACCCAGCAATGGTGACTTTTTAAACTTTGAAGTTTGGTTTGGTTTGTTTGATACTTCAACTGTCTTTTGGTTTAGGGTTTTTAGATAGAGTTACTTTATTTTATCTTTTTCCTTGTAGCAAATCAACCTTAACAAATATTAAAAAAAAGGAAAAAAAAGAAGAGGGAATGCGCATCCAGGGAATCGAACCCTGGTCAGTACCGTGGGAGGGTACTATGATACCACTACACCAGATGCGCTTGCTTGTCCTTTCTAATTAGCAAAAGGTTTAAATACTAACAATCCGTTTTTTTTGGTTTGGATCATATGCGACAATAACTTCGAAATGCCTAGCCCAATCCCTAGAGAGACTAGAACGAGGGGTTATAATGAAAATTTGCAGGCGTTCTGATAGAAACCAAAAGCCTTTCAGAAGCCCAATTCTCCGTTTCTTCACTTTGTTTATGGATTCATTCAACCCAAGACCGTTTGAACTCTTTGACTGGTTGGTCTTCATGTGAGGCTCCACCGGCCATCTGACAACTCCTTACAATGAAAGTTCCGCACTTTCCTTCCACATTCCAACGTCTCTATCCATCCACATGTTCATCTCCTCATTTCACATTTTTATGAAGACTCATTGACTTCACCGACCGTCCATTTCTATACCCCCAAAAAAACCCACGCGATCAAATTCCACCATTGACTGAAATTGAATCCTCCCCTCTATATAAATAAACACCCTTCTCCTTCTTTCTTCACAACCCATCTCTACATCTTCTCCTTCATCCTTTCCAATTCCCATTGAGAGAAGAACAATACACTCTGCAAACTACAATGGCCTGCTCAAGCGCTTCAAGACCCAGTTAGTGTTTTTTCCCCATTAATTTTTCATTCATAACAATCTCCTTGGTATATGGTTGAGTTGATTTGATCCCCTTGTGTTGATAATTGTTTTTGGGTCAATGTTGTTGTTTCTGCAGCCAAAGTTCAAGAACTCCATGTCTATGAGATCAATGAGAGAGACCGCGCAAGCCCTGCATATCTCAGTTTAAGCCAGAAACCTGTTAATTCTCTTGGAGACCTCGTCCCCTTCACTAACAAAGTAATTTAATTCATTGTTTCTTATTATATATTAATATATGTTGCAATAATTTCTTGTGGGTTAGTGCTAAATTTACAAATGTAATTGCAGATATATACTGGGGATCTTCAGAAACGCTTGGGAGTGACAGCAGGCATCTGCATTTTGATCGAGAACAAGCCGGAGAAGAAAGGTGATCGATATGAAGCTATTTACAGCTTCTATTTTGGAGACTATGGTCACATTTCAGTTCAAGGACCTTATTTGACCTACGAGGACACGTATCTGGCTGTGACTGGTGGCTCTGGGATCTTTGAAGGAGTGTACGGGCAGGTGAAGCTGCACCAGATTGTGTTCCCTTTCAAGATCCTCTACACTTTTTACCTCAAGGGGATTGAGGATTTGCCTGAGGAGCTTACTGCTGTGAAGCTTGTGGAACCAAGCCCTGCTGTTGAGCCCAGCCCTGCTGCCAAGGCTTGTGAGCCTCAAGCCACTGTCTCCAACTTCACCAACTAATACTAATAACCACAAGCTTCTTGCTGCCTCTAGTTTTTTGTGGGTTGAATTGAAGTTATGTTGTCAGATGGTGTAGTATTTTTATTTTATTCATAAATAATTTATTATCTGTGTTTAGTGTATTTGAAGGCAATGTAATGATCAGTGGTTTATACAATGACAATGCTTTGCTTAACTATGTTTTGTTTACTCTATACACAACTAAATCATTGTAATTTGAAGATATAAACACATAACTGTGTTTTGTTTTTCTTTTTTGCCGTGGTTTAGAACTCATTTTTGTTTTTTGGGTTATATGAAGTGCCAAAGCTCAAAAGAATATGACCAAACAAAAGCCCGGGATGGGAATATGAACAAGTCCATTAGAACTGACAAAGAAGCAGGTTGATCATTGTTTGGAGGAATCGAAACTAGAACCTGTATTTGAAGTGTTACTAGTTTACAGAATGAATCCTGCACGGATGATATTTGTAAATTAATGTTGTGGCGTGATATAAAATACGAGTAACTCAATTTAACACAAAAAGAATGTTAAACTAATGGAAATATTATGGTTCACCATTTTAACATAAGGTGTATTTTCACCACGCTTCTTAGTATTTGACTTGTGTTTATAGGCATTACCATATTTAACTTTTTATTTTTGTATTTATGGAACCATGGTTATTCATACAGACACGTGTCAAGTGTTGAAAAAAGTGATGAAGATACACCTTTTGTTAAAGTGGTGAGTAAAAATTATCTCTTAAAACTAATAGATATTTGAAGAGACAGAGTTTTGTTGTACCAATTTTGGTATAAATTTAAGCCATTTTTTCTTCTCATGCTTTCTCCTATTATTGTGTTCAAAGAATTGTTTTCGAAGTTAAAAAGGAAAAAAATCCCTAAACCTGAGTAATGCGGACATCATGACAATAAACAATTTGTACTAATCCAGGATTAGCAAATTGACATCCAATCCAAAAGCTTATAGACTTCTTTGCAACAGTTTAATAATCATACCTTTGGATCTGTCGTCAAGTCTGAAAGCCTCCCCAAAAAACCAAACCAAAACCAAACCTGACTCAAAGAAGAACAAAAATACAAGACAATGCTCCTCTTGTTCCTCCTACACCATTGCAATCTCTTCTAACACAGACTACAAATAACTCAACACAACACAAGACAACAAAAAATCTCAGACAGTTGTGCTGTTATTGGGTCATCTTCAGTCTTCTTCTAATGGTTGTTGTCCAAGCTTCAAAGCTCAGGCTCCCCAACCCTTCCCTCTCTTCCCCTAACATAACCTCCCTCCTCTTTGAGCCCCATTCTCTCTCTCTAGCCCTCATGCACTCTGACTCCACTCTATCTCTCTACCCTTCTATTTCCCCTCTTGCCCTCTCATCTCTCCCTCCTCCTCAAACCCTAATTGCTCCTCCCTCTTCTTCCTCCACCTTCCTCCTCCTCCAAAACCCTAACCCTAACCCCAATACTCGCGTTCTATTCATTGTCTCGGGTCCTTATAGAGGTGGGTCTCAGGTCCTGCTCAGGTTTTATATTTTGCACAAGCAGAAGCAATTTGTGAGAGCTCAAGTTGTTTGCACTCAGAAAGAGCTTCAATTTGATCAGAAATTGGGGGTTTTGGTTGATGCTCACCATGGAGTTTCGATTAAGCTTGCCGGGTCGGTCAATTTCTTCGCCATGTACTCTGTTTCTAGCTCAAAGATTTGGGTTTTCGCTGTGAAATCGATTGATAATGACGATAATGATGATGACGATGGGGTGGTTGTGAAGTTGATGAGGTGTGCTGTGATTGAGTGTTGCAAGCTTGTTTGGTCGATTAGCATTTCTTTTGGGTTCTTGATCTTAGGAGAAGATAACGGAGTTAGGGTTTTCAATTTGAGGCAGCTTGTTAAAGGGCGGGTTCGAAAGGCCAAACTTTTGAATTCGAGTTCGAAAACCGAGGGTCGAAATTTGTGTTTGCCTAATGGGGTGATTGGTGACCATGTCCATAGTGATTTGGCGGATAAGGGAAATAAATATGGAGGCGGAAAATTCCATGGAACTTCGGAGATACCTTGCAATGGGGACTTGTGTGGGAAGAACGATAGGAATTATGTTTCTGGTAAGTATGCAAATTTTTCGTTTTGCTTTTACTTTGGCTGATGTTACCTGTGTGCAGAAAATGCAAAGCAAACGTTCTTTGTATGTTTACGAAATATATCCATTGCTCCTTGTTGAGTTAGTACTTAATTGAGTTGTTAGCGGAACTTTATGATCAAACCTGTTGCAAAGTGAAAGCCATATGTCATACATTGGTCTTCTAAGGATGGCAGAACTTAAGCAAGATCCTATTGGTGTTATGATAACAACTATGGCCATACAACCAATGAGGATAGTTTAACCCCCTGTCAACTGTGTTTTACTCCAGGCCTCTTTAAGGATACGCTTTTTTATAGTTTGTTTGTGTACCTTAGGTTGTGTCTTGATAATTGGATCTATCCTCGTTGTGTTTGTGGGACATTTGTGCAACAATTTCAGTGTGTTTAGACATTTATTTTACCTAAATTTTAAAATATCTCCAGAGTTATTGGGTTGTTGACGTATGCCGAACTATAGCAGGAATTTTTTGGTTATAAAAATGGGATTTACTTAATGTATCTATAGGACTTGCTACGTATACACATACAGTCATATTGATTTTCTTATGAAGTGCCTATTTGGTATACTTGTTGAAATAGGGAAAATAAATAAATATTTACTCATAAATGAATACGCTTGCATATAAGATATATTGTTTGCATATGATGGAAAAGAATAAACTTTCATGGCTGGAAGGTTGCTGAATTCCATATTGCTGTGCCAGGAATATACAAGCAGCAGCTACTTTTGACAGTTTGGGGGTTCAAGGGTCATGTTTGATGGTGGGAAGTATTTAATAGTCGGGGTTCTTATTGGAAAACTAAATAAAGAAATAAATGAGGTTGGCTGCTCTTCAGTCCACAATTTTCAGTCATGGCTTAAATTTAGGCTTCATGATGTTGAAAGATTCGTATGCATAGGCATCCACTGGTTGCATCATAATGACTATCTGGATATATTTTGTAAAACTACATAGCTAGTAAGATGAGATAAAGATCCTCTAGTAAATTAATGCACACTCTCTAAAGATAGAAGTTGGAGAATATCCTTTAAGTGGACGGCTTCTATGTTTTATGCAAATGTGTAAGTAACAAGGTATTGTTGAATGCTGCCATCATTTGATCAAGTGAGTGAATAATGTGATCCTTAATTTATTAATAGTTCAAGCTATCTCAAAGATTGTGATTTGGATTTAAAGTGGCCTACCATGATTGGCCTAGCTAAGTAGTCCTATATTACCTTGTTGAAATCTTGGTATTTGGACTAAAATTTTGAGTTTAATATTAGTTCACACATATACAAGTTAAAATGAAAATTTATTGGGTTTTTGGTTGTTCTGGCTACTATTAAAGTGTCATGATCACTTTATGTCTTTAACCCATATAATATGCTTGTGGACCAGCATATCCATTCTTGTACCTTATTGATCCTTATGGAAAAATTCTTGTCTTAATGGTTGTACACAACCTCTCTCTCTCTCTCTCTCTCTCTCTCTCACACACACACACACACACACAATAACTGGTCACATGACTAGCACATGATGGTTTAAATGTGAGAGGAGGGGTTGTATTGTATACACAATTTTTCCATCATATGTTGTAACATGTAACTTTAGTTTATTGACTTTAGTTGGGCCTGTTTCTTGCACGTGCACTACTTGTAACATATTTATATGTTTATCTGTTATCTGCACTAACAAATTGCTTTTAGGTATTTCTTTTTTACCAGGACATGGGTGCTACTCATTTAAGCAAGGTGCTGTCCTTGGGTTAAAATCATAAGCATGCCTCTAGATGGTAAATCACTGATTAGAAAAATAACTTCAGTTAGGGACTGTGTTGTATTTCTTGTCATCCAATTGCAATCTCTAGCTCATGACTGATTGCCAGCCTTGACCCCTTAAAAATTTATCTACCTTAGGCAGATATACCTCTGCAGTATGGCCACCAGATAATTACACATTTCTATTTTAGATGGAAGTGGCTTCCATTGCTTCTTGGTACTATATTCATATGAACTTGTATTGTCCTTGGCTGTTTGACTAGTGCCACTAACGGTGTGTTGAACCTTGCAGCCAAGCAGCGGTCAGTTAAATTGAAACAAGACTCACCTGAAGAGGGAGTGTGTTTTGTGACATTCAAGGGCAAGGAGTTTGAAACCTCAAAATCGACAAGAATGATACCAGCTAAGGCAATCTCCATTGAGGCACTGTCCCCCAACAAATTTTTAATCTTGGACTCAAATGGAGCTTTACGCATTTTGCACATCTCCAGCCCTGTACTTGGATCAAATATAACTTCTTACTTGCGGGAGTTGCCTCACATTATGAAAGTGCAAAAGCTGGCTGTTCTTCCTGATATAGCTTCAAGTATGCATCTCCTACCCCTTTCTTTTTAATTATTTTGCAGATGCTTACATGTTGGAAGCTGAAGGTGGATTTGCAATTGAGTAATTCCCTGTATTAATGGAACAATAGAACTTGATGATCTTAATGTGGGGGATACTGCTGGGGTGTGTAGCTTGGTCTGTGTTTTTATGAGTGAAACATTTAATGTTACGGTAGTTCATCTAAATTTAGACATATGCCTCTTGACCAAAGCTTCAACCATGAGGTCACTTTTCACTATATCACTACCCACTGAAACTTAAAATTTTTGCCATCATTTTGCAGGAACTCAATCTGTTTGGGCTTCAGATGGATACAATTCTGTGCACATGATGTTAGCATCTGACATGGATAGTGCGGTTAACGAAAATGATAGAAATGATAGTGAGGAAAAGTTGATTCATATCTCAGGTATCCATTTTCCCATAATTTTCTAGTTAAATTTAATGCGTTTTAATTTCAGATTATGTCACATCTTTCTTCCTAACATGTCAAAAAAACTTACATGTTTTTTCAATAATTTTATGAGGTTGCAATTTATCCTCATCAGTGGAGTTCTATGATGGTGCAAACTTGTTCATCAAGCATTTGAACCCAACGATCAAATTTAGTTGGGGTCATATGCCCCTTTCTGGATTTAGTTTCCAGTTCAGTTCCAGTATTTTGCACTGACTTTCTGTTTTCTGTGCTAGTTGTTCTCACAATTTTTGCTAGCGAAAAGATTCAAGATCTTATTCCGTTGGCTGCAAATGCTATTTTGATTCTTGGCCAAGGTAACATGTGGTTTTCTTTTTTTCATTTAGACTTACCTTGTGTACAATAAGTGTTACCTGGACTTCAAATATAGATAAATAGGCTAAGTGGCATCATGCATCGGTTCAATTAACCATGTAGAATCAAGTTTTTTCTTATTGTTGAAACTAAATTTTTTAAATTGAAACTGCTGGAAATCTGATATCATAAGTTTTATAAACATGATGTTGGCTAAGCAGATGTTATGTGTCGTTTGTGGTCAAGAATTTTGTTCTAAATTGGATATCATAATTATTTTCATTATGCAAGTATCACATGGAGTATAAAACTTAATATCCCCTCTCTCATCTTATTTATTCCTTTTATTTCTGTGGATGTTTATCCCTCTTAAGCAGGAAACTTATACACCTATGCGATTTCTTGAAGTTGCATAGCTATAACCGCCTTTTCTACTGGTGAGCAGCTTGTCTTAAATTTATGCCCTCTAATATATTTTTTCTGTGGATATGATTTTAAGCTGGTTTCTTTGTAGGACTTCTGAAATCCAGGCCTTGTTAAATGAGCTCTGCCAGTTTGATTGAGGTCCTGGAGAAATGTTCTGTGTAAACAGTGAGTGTTGGAACTATAAGTTGTCAACTTGTCATGTATAGTCTGTATTTTAGTATGGAGTCTGAACTCATATTTTGATTTTTAAGGTGCCCTTGTGTTGCTTGATTACCATGGTCCCATGCGTCGTTTGTGTTACTGAAGTCAGGAGCTGCAGTTTCCTTATCAATCTAGAAGTGGTTAAGACTTTGAGAATGCTGAGCTCTTGAAGGTATGTAAGATCATAGAAGTTTTTTTGGTATTTGTGTTTGGATTTAAAGAAGGCTTGCCATCCATGGTAACCCAATAACATTGATTGGAAGAAGGTTGTGGACTGGTCTGGTTTGAATTTGGTATTGATTTCTTAAGTCTCTTGTCACTGGTTGGTTTGAGCTCATCAAATATTTTCCCCCTATTTTAGGTAGTATGGAATCGGGACCAGTTGGGTGCCTGTCATTGCTTTCCACATTCTAAAGGTTGATTGTTTCAGCAACTGAAAGCCACTTCTGTTGTTCAACCTAACTCCACGAGCTGCAACTTTTGTCATATGTGAACGTATTGGGTGTGGGTTCTCCGTGTTGCCTCGTGGTGCATGTCTATTCTACGGTTGTCAGCTGGAGAACTGAACCTGCATTCGACCGAAGGTCAATAAACCCATGAGACGGCTTGCAGGATAGCGTCTAATATGGATGAAACTCCAGACATTCTGAGACTTTTTGAGTTCTTAGAGCTTGTAATGTCTGTAATAACGTTCACCGACACATATTAACTGGGTGAATGCCCATGGTTATTTTTTCTGTTGAACTTATATGCTTGTGATTTTGTCTGGTGCGCTTTCAGAATTGATGGAAATGAAAATCTATAGGTTGTTAGAACTCTGTTTGCCTTCATAGCTTTGAAATCAGGATTTAGCATCTGCAGATGTAAAATGAAAACCTTTATAAAATGAGATGAGCTCCTAATATTTCCAATGATGAAACACTCTCTGTAAAGAAAGCTTTAGCTTTGCTTTGGGTTAACACCAAACACTTCTTCAACCAGAAGAAGGTTTTTCAAGGACAATAATACCTCAGCTGGAAAAGAAGAAAAAGGACAATAATATCAGAGATTCAGATATCTCATCCTTGAAATGAAAACTTTAGAAATTAAATGAAGTGGATGGGCCCCGCCTGTCGCTTTACTGAAACCTACCTTGCTTACACATCAGACAAAACTGACGACTATGATGAGGTCCAGTGGTGGGGCCCCCTGATCCCCATAATTGGAGGACCGCACCACCCTCAATCCCCCCTTTTTCAAAGATGTGATGTTGACAATCACATGACATGGATATGCACAGCCACACAGACATTCTCACTCCTACTCCACCCCTCAGGCCAAGTGCCCTTCTCCCTCCCCTTCTTGCTATCCACTCTTTTTCTTCGCCATCCAGCCCAGACCGAAAGCAACCCAACATTAATATCTGCTTCATCAACTTGTTAGCTCTTAAAAACCATATCCCCAAAAGTAAAAATCAGATGTAAAACATTTTGTTTTCCTTTTTTAATAATCAGAATTTTATGCAGTCATTAATGGAGTGGTCACAGGAGGGAAACAACTGTTTGAATTTTTCAAATTCAAAACTATTTACAGTAAGGACAATGTTTTTAAGACTATAAGAGCATGTAGCTCAAATGATTATCGAGTGCGTGGTTTTGAATACAGGTATCACTAGCATTAATGCAAAAACTATTAGAATTTGTGGTTACTTGAGCCTATAAAAAGCAATTACTCAAAGGGCTTGGAAGTACAAAATATACTTTGCTTGATAAAATATGTACTTCTAAGTTAACCTTCAATTGCCTCACTGCACTTGAGTTGCTCAACAAGGCCATCCAAGTACTTCCATGATGAACCTCCATGTTACCCTGTGCTCCACCTGATTATAAAAGTTTCTTGACACTTCTCTGTCAATTTGAATACATTTTCACAAATTAATCAATTCATATCTTCCCTGACTTCAATCAAACAGTTTCCCACTAGGGAAAAGTATAATGCATTCGCATTCAAATGCTAAATTTGGTTGGACTGTTGGATTAAAAAAATTTCAACACATCGTACTATTGCAATGTTACTCTTTTCATGAGCAAAAATACAACAAAATTGTGACCCACATTCCTGTGGTTATTTATCAATTTTAAGATTCTTTAGATCAATTCCAGTGTCAGCTCTGCAGACACCTCTCACATCTTGCCTGCCCACAAAGAATGGTGAATGATCTTTCAACATTTCGCATTTGGTTAAAAAAACCCAAGAAAAATATGGGAAATATATACCCCTTGGTTTGCAGTATTTAAAAATCATACCATAAATTTATGAACTTTGCTGGTGTATAAATTGAAACTTTGTGGAAGTAAAAATATATTCTTTACTCTTAAAATTTGTACTGCAGCTTCTCTCTTTTCTTTTTTGGAAGGAGAATAAGAGAAAGCATCACCCTTTATGTGTACGTGTCAGTTTGTGTGTGTGTGTGTGTGTGTGTGTGTGTGGCATAGGCAACCAAAGCTATATGCACATTGCATATACCGCCATGTTTAAACTGATACAAATGTAGCAGCTACTCTTTTTAAGCATATCTTCCCAGAAAGAGAAAGACAGTTTACATATTTTGAAAGTTGCTCTGCATGTTTTCATACTTGTTCATGCGGCCTTCCGTTACTAATTATAAAACTTGAGAAAGAAGGAAAAAGGCTCATTTTATGTTCTCCACCATGGAAGAGTCACCATATGGTTCAAGAAGGCGAGACGAGACAGATTTCAGTTTGAGAGAATGGGCTGTGAAGGCTAGAATCAGCCGTGAAAACACAAATTCCAGAAGGTTTTCAGCTTCATATGTTAGAAGCTTCAGAGAGGACACAAGGTCTTTCAGATCAAACATAACCATCTCTAGTACTGCTTCTTCTCCTGGCTATAACTTAAGAGGTATCCTTCTCTCTGTTTCATTCAACACCCAGCTTGCATTTACTATTTCTCATCATTTCCCCCCCTCTCTTTTTATGCAGACGAAATCGACCCGGCAACCTACTCATTCACCACTGCCCTCAAAGGTAAGATTTTTATAATGATTTAAAGAAATTAGCAAGAATGGTACTTACTAAACTGCTAACATGATCATGAAAGCATGTTGTTAGTTCAAATTATAACAAAAAGGTTTGTGGTGTTTTTTCTTGCAGCATTGCAGGCAAGGTCAGCATATCATAGTTGGGAATCTTTGTCACCAGATGGGTTTGCTTTGAATTCTAAGTGGAATGAAGCAGAGAAATATATATGCAACCCTCTATCAGGGCAGGTTCCAATGGAGTGTTTATCTGCAAAAACACTTAGTGGAAGATCGTTTCGAAACATAACCAATAGAATTACACTGTCTGCACCTCTTGTTTACTCTTCCCACTCAAGACCAATTCATGCCAAGCCTTCTTCTAATCCTGCAAAAGAAGATTTTGTTTGTCAGTTTCCAATTCCAGGTTCAACCCTCTTTATCTTACCTCATACTTGTCATTTTTCACTATAAAAAAAATGGTTGCTTGCATTGGAATTTGGATATGCTAATTAATTTACAACTACCATATGTTAATTTCTCAATGCAGAGAAGAAAAGAGAAGGCACGACCAGAGATGTGGGGACTCAAAGCACACCTCCTGATATGAGTTCAAGTAGTCCTCCTAGCTCTGCTTCAACCCCTTCAATCATAGAGAGATCGTTAAACCGATTCCGAGTAGGAGACTCGCCTAAATCAAATGCAAAATTAAAATCTGATGAAGAGGTATGTTCTTGCTGATATCCCAGATAACATGCTAACACTTAGCCATGTTGCTGTAGGTTTTTAAGGTTAATTGTGTGGTAATAATTAAGGATGTTCCTAATTAATGATGTGTTTCTCAAAGATGGGACAATTAAATGAAGGTTGCATTTTATGGTTGGTATCATAAAAAAACTAAACTATGCCCTTCAAAGTGGGGGGACTAGACTAGTAGATTAGATTGAATTGGTCCCTCTTCTTGGTCCTTTTGTTTAGCACATGCCTATCCAGTTCTGTTTCCTCGATATTTTCTCCCAAGTGGCCCTGTTTTCCAGCACATAAACTCTGTGGCAGGGAAAAACAATTTGCCTCTTGCCTCTGCAATAAGTGTTCTTTCTCAGAGGCCTAAAACCCCGGATGACTCATTTTCACAATTGCGTACCGAGTTGCAAAAACCACACTATCGATTTACTTTACCTTTTTTCCCTTTGATTGATGTATGAACTACATGTTTCTTTTTATTCTTTTTACGCCACTTCCTTTTGTTTTATGTGGAACCCCTGAAGATTCCTCAGTGCACGTGTTAATACGGATTCTTCACTTTTCTGGTCCTTTCTAATCCTTTGGGGTTCTCAATGAAAGTGCCCCATCACTGATTTTTTATTTTATTTCATTTCCTTTTCTGCTTCTTTTTGGAAAAGATGGTCGTGTGTTTCAGGGTTGGTTACTTGGTGATTTATTTCACTGTTTAGTACAGTTTTGTTGCTCCAGAGAGTCATGTCCTTGTAAACTGATGCTAGACTTTGTGACCATCTAGTTGTACCTGATGTGAGGAGACTGTCATTTCATGGTGTTTGTGACCCTTGTGATCAAATTTCATGACTGATAGGCTGATGGTTGTAGAAAGTGACAGTAGCGTCTTGAAATTGATGGTCCCTCTCAATCTAAGAGCTTAATTATGACCAACATGGACTTCATTTTGCACCATTTGTTTGGCCTAAATTTATACCATTTATGCTGGAACCAATGAGTTTGGGTCAAGCTCAGAGCACAAACCCCATGTACTAATTTCTTAGTCAGATAACCAAATATAAGAAAGTATGGGATTTTATGTGTGGGTTATATTAAGTGCAGGTGGAAGTGAAAGATACAAGAGAGCAAGAAGAAACAAAAAGAGAAAAGGAAGAGAGAAAGAAAAGGGATGATGAGCAACAGCACAGGCAAGGTGGGTGCTTGTCATGGATGAGAAAAAGGTACAGAGAAAAACACAAACCAAGAAAGAAGAATATCTTTCTTTCTCATCTCAAAGGGTGCTGAGAAAAATTAGAGGTGGAAATTTTTAATGATAATGGTAAAAAGAATATTGGAGGGCCGGCCGAAGGAGAGATTCTGTGTGTGCAGAAATCTTTGCAGGGTCACTGAGTGTGTCTGTGATTAAGAAAAGAGAACAATCATGAATGGGGTCTTTGGTTTGGTGGTTGTTTTATCCCTTTTTTCTTTGTTGTAGTATATTGCTCACTCAGTGATGTTAATGTTTTTGTTCTTGTTCTGTTTAAATTGGCTGACAGCTTGAGGTTCACGCGCATGCTTTTTATTTGTGCTGTAAAAGTGGTAGGCCTCTCTGCAAAAAATAACTTCATACCATATGGGATATTTTACTGCTCATATAGTAGGGAACTGAAAATCTAAAAAATCTAGAGGAGAAATGAAAATTTAAAATAGGATTCAAATTTGATATGAAGATCTTGGAGTAAATATATCAGTTCTGGGAATTCGTGACAGAAGAATTTGAAAAAAAAACCGAGATTTTGTCATGTTTCTGATTCTCTATTCAAAATTGTATATATGATACAATAAGATTTTGTCAACTGAATTTAAACAACAGTTTTACAAGTGACAAGAGGCTGTTTAATGATTAAACTACATTGAATTTTTTTACAAGTGTTATGCAGAGGGGTCAACGTTGGAGTTAGAAATGAGTCGGACCTCATATAGATTCTTCTCTCCCTTCACTGCACCAGAAAATAAATATTATTTCAAAACGTTTGGTGCAAGCAAAATTCAGATTGTTGCATGACTTCAACCCTCTAAATTTACAAACTTCGAATTGAAGCATTTAGGTATAAACTCACCGATTTCAGCTGTGATTCCTGGTCCGAAGAATGACGCAAATTTAGCCTTAAAGTTGTTAGAACACATAAATCAGTATGCAGTATCTTTTGCTATTTGGAATTACAAGGGTTAATAAATCTTCAAAATGCAAGAAGGTCAAACAATTTATTATCCTGTGAAATTTAGGAGAACTTTAAAACATGGTCTTCATGCTATCAATCGTAACAGGACTCTGTAAGTTTACCTGTCTTTGTTCAAAATCTGATAACTGCAGAGCTTTTGCCTCAAATACCAGGACTAGAGAGTATCTACCATCTTCTGTGACCTAAAAACATACAGTATAATTTGAAATAGTAGCAACTGGGGAATAATGGTGGTCACGCTTTGACACAAATCAACTAAAAGCCTCATCAGCTATCAACTTAGTAAGAAAAGCTGAAGGAAATAAACGATTAAAACCTTAAGAATCTTGCAAAAAAAAATTCAGGATTATCAGGCTGCTCTTGTATATGATATTCAGGAAAGAATAAAATTCTACTTTTTCTAGAAATTCCTAAACCGAAAATCAATTGCATTAGAGCTATAAGCCTATGACCACAGAAGTTGCTTTTAGCCTGTTAATACATCCCCAATATCACTTGTATATATATATATATAAAAGAACACCCGACAGTAAAAGGATTTCATTGAATGGGAGGTAATCAAAAGTTTACACGCTTGAAGTTGAAACCAAGTTTAGGTGAGAAGCATACCTCTTCGCGAATGCTTTGGAGAGTAGGTGCACTCCTCCGAGCAATTCCCCCACCCTGAAGGTAAAACAGGTATAAAAAAAATGATAAGCACAAAACAGAGTTTGAAGCAGATATTCCCATCACAGTGTAACTGTGCACTGAGCATAAGATTATCTACATCTAAATAATATTAGAAGTGAAGTGTTGTGATAACAAGTAGCTTCCAAATAGGATATGAAAGACCAAACATTTCTTTCCCTCATGAAGAATATTCAGAAACAACTGCATAGATGAATACATTTCTCGTATTTAAACACAAATCAGACAACACACCTGACCATACTGGAAAATTCGTTTCAATGCCTCATCCAAATGCTGCTCATCTCCATAGCGATACCTCGTAACATCATTCCTGACCTAATTACATATATCATATCATTTGGCCAAAAAACCAAAGAACCCAGTATTGAATGCATCAAATGTTGATACAAGAGACCAAGTCTAATCCACTCATGGACTCAACAAATCAGCCAACATTTTGAAAATTTAGAACTAACCACTAAGTCCAAAGGGGTTGATAATATTTCCTCAACATTCTATTTAGTATTTCAATGATATTGATTCTCAAGCACACATTTTCTCATAAGGATCCTATTCCCATCACCCCACCGGCGTCCAATATTGTTATGAGTAAGCACATGAAGAAACTACAGAAACATGTCTAACTGCAAACATCTCAATACAGACTGGATAATAAGAGATAACAATGAACACCGCATTACTGGCCCATTACATTCCAAAGTTTTTGAGGGTTGATGCAATAAATTTACCACACCATATATAAACCCTTACAACATCAATTTTCTTAAACCACCACACACTCATGTCAAGAATGAGCCAATTCACCGTAATTACCTGCGTAAGGATTGGGGTGGCACTTGTTTCCCTTAATTTCAGAGCATCCGAATAAGTCAAGCATGGTACTGGCTTTAGCTCTGCATACTGCAAAACAGAGAAACAGAAATACAATCAGCAAATAGAAAGACAAATGACTTCAAGTCAAGAAATGAATCAAGCCAAAATTTCAGTAAATAGCAGAGCAAGGACCTAGGTATGTATTTGTTTGACAACCAAAATTAATGAACTAGACAGAAAGTTCATGCAACCAAATCAACAACTAGTAATCTGCATAGCTGGGAATAGCCTGGCTAACACATAAACTATCTTAAGAAGCAAAACCAGGCAAAATATGTTCTTAATTACTGTTCACAAGCTAATATACACAATATGTTACTTTTAATTTTACCTTGAAAGCCATACCAATGATTGCAAGTGGGAAGCCATATGTGAGCATCAATGCTGACCATTCAGACCCAGGAAGGATATTAAAATACGCCCCAAAACCATAGCTGTTTGTTCACAAACACATGAATTATGAACAAATATGTATTTAAAAAAAAATCAAAATATGCTTCACAAAGTTAGAAACTTTAATGCTATCCAAGTACGAAACAGAGGACAAAGAACTCACGACAAGAGTGAAAGCCCACCACCCAGACCAATAACCCCAAACGAAACCTGCATACATCACACAACAATTAACTGAAATATTTGTAGGTGCGTGAATGAAATGTGAGGAAAGTAAAGCAGAGGTACCTTAGCGAGGGAGAACTGGTCGTCAGGAACGACGGTCTTGTCGGCGGTGGAGGAGACGGTGGTAGGCTGGGTTGAATCGGCGGCTCGTGCTCTGGTCAATTTGGGCTTGGGCTCTGAGTGTTGGTGGGCCCTAGGCCCAATGGGCTCCAGATGGACGAGGAAGCTGGTGATGGGCCTTGGTTTTGATGAGCTAGTGTTATGGTGGTGGTGGTGGTGGTGGTGGTGTTGCAGAGAGAGAAAGCGGTGGCGGTTGAATTCGTGATATTGGTGGGGGCAGAGGAAGATTCCTTTTGAACTTGCAGTTACAGTTGATAGTGCTTTGGTTGCCATTTGAGCTCTCTTTGTCTCTCTCTCTCTTCTTCTTCCTTAAAGGTTGAGACTTCCAGAGAGCACAGCAGTTATGCAGTGGCTGCTCCCAACCGCCAAATTTCTGGTTACGTGTCCTCATGTTATCCATTTTCTTTTTTTCCTTTTCATTCTCCTTTGAGTTTCAAGTTTAACCAGAAAAATGAAAAATAAAATAAAATTGATAGCCACCATGTAAAAGTGGATGGGCCTGGACCTACATATGGCCCAAGTCTGATATTATTAGTAGGCCCAATTAGGCGAGAGCTTCTATAATAAGGCTATGTCGGGAGGAGTTCAATCTATCTAGCCGCCCAATAATAACTCTGTAATTGATCGGATGACTATCGAGAACGCAAGTCTGACACGGCTCTCATTGGACCTATATATGGCCCAAGTCTGATATTATCACTAAGCCCAACTGGCTAGGAGCTTCTACAATGAGGGGCAATGTTGAGGTGTTCAATCTAGCTGCACTGTAAAAACCCTACAACTGTTCAGATAACTGTTGAGGACCCATAATTGTAACCCCTCAAGACAGTCTCTCTGGGCCTGGGCCTGGACCCAAGACTTCAAGTCTGGCCAATCCATTAATACAAACTAGAGAAAATATTGCATGAACTTAAATGATCTTAAACCAGGAACAAATATCAGAGATAGATCTGGAAACATGAAATTAATAAAAGTTTCCAAAATGCATTCAGAAAATACTGAAAAAAGGTTTATCCCCTTGCTTACATTCCCCAGAATAAATACAGAGTACGATCCAACCATTGAAAGGTTAAGAACCACACTTCTGTGCTGAGGCAGCTGGCCTGTTTCTGAAAGTCGCTTCTCTTCAAATCAGCAATGCCATAGACAGCAAAAGCCAAAGTAGGAAACAGCAGAAACTCGGGCAGCCAACTACTTGGATGTTATCATCCTTATTACATATTTAGACGATTCTGCATTTAAAAAAACAAAAACTAAAATGGACTTGAAACAACTGTCTTCTGATGGCTAAAACCTCTAATTAGCCACAAGAATGAGCTCCATGTTTCCTTCATTACTTTCAGAAGAACTGAGCTCCATGTTTTCTTCATTGCTTTCTGAAGGACTGAGCTCCATGTTTTCTCCATTGCTTTCCGAAGGACTGAACTCCATGTTGTCTTCATTGCTTTCAGGACTGAGCTTCATGTTGTCTTCATTGCTTTCGGGACTGAGCTTCATGTTTACTTCATTGCTTTCGGGACTGAGCTTCATGTTTACTTCATTGCTTTCGGGACTGAGCTTCATGTTTACTTCATTGCTTTCGGGACTGAGCTCCTTGTTTACTTCAGTACTTTCAGGGCTGAGCTCCTTGTTTTCTTCATTACTTTCAGGACTCAGCTCAATGTTTTCTTCATTACTTTCAGGAATGAGCTCCATGTTTTCTTCATTACTTTCACAAGAAGTTTTGGAACGCTTTTTCCTCATAGCCCTCTTTTCCTTTTGTTGCCTGCAGGCCAAGCAAACAGCTTATGCATCAACAACCAGTTCATTGGAAATGAGAAAACTGTACGACATCAGAACAATTCAACCTAACTAACAATGCAAAACAATTATATGCGCATACTTTAGAGTCAGATGAGCGAGGTATTTTTCGACCCCCTCTTTGGCTTCAGCACCATAAACGAACCATTTTTCGTGAGATGGAGATTCATCCCATTTTCCCATATCTGTACAATACTCGAAAAGAAGAATTTTAGCATCCAAATAACTGAAAAGTGGAACTCTATGCATTTTGTTTGGCGCAGTTCAAACTAACCTTGAAGCAAAACACCACCTTCACCACCAGTATGGCTGTTTAATTTCCAAAATACACGACCATCAGCATCCACAAGATGAGGCTGTGTTCTTATAGCATCAGAAAATGGCTTCTCTGTAAAATAAGTCAAAACAATTTTAATAAGTGCATGTATAACAAGGACACATGGAAGATACGGAAACTTAATAATTAGCAAAATGGTAACCAGATATTCATGAAGAACCAAAACATAAAAAGCACTTCAGCCAAAAGAAAAAAGAAAACATCTAAAGTATTCCTAAAGATAGTTTTAACAACAATTCTGGAAAAAATAATAATTGAAAGGCACGGAAGATATTAGAAATGGGAACTTACTTTTAGGTACCAGGGCTGCTGCTTCAGCGACCTCCGCCTGAGCTTGAGCTACCTCACTTTCTAATCGTGAAACCATAGTATTAGTATCATGTTTTTCAATTGAGACAGGACCATCCTTTTCTGCATTTACCCTCTTCGCCTTCTCAACCTCCAACCTTTTTTGGATATCTTTCTCCTGTACATACGATTTAGTTAAAAACGGAACTACATGTAGGCTGAGGCTCCAATAGATGCTTGCCTTATTTTTAACATTACCTTATCCTTTGCTGCAGCAACTTTTCCTTTTGCATTCTTTGTTTCAACAGATTCTTCACTTTGCATATCTATCCAGTCCCTCACTGTACTGGAAAAAAGATTGAAAAGTTCTCGTCAGTCTTAACCCAGAAAACAGGACATTACAAAATTATAATTTACATATTACGTATCTTCTACTTACTTAGTACCAAGAGCCTCGTCACAGAGGAAAGTTAAAAGCCTAAGTCTCTGTGAGAAGTTTAACATCTCATATCCAGCACTGCCTTTGCTAAAGCACTCTGGGGGAAGTCCATCCATTACATGGCCCGAGATGCCGGATTTAGAGATGCGTTTCCCCAAATCTTGAAACCATGTATTCTTGTTGCTTGTTTCACCTAAACAGTGAGACCTAACAGGAAACAATGTTAGCAGAAACTACATGAATTCGTTCCACCATTAAAGCTTACTAAAGTACTTTATGCATGAATATCATATATACTAGGTAGAGTTCTTACTCCTTTCCTGTATCCTCCTGTATGAAGGAGAGCATCATGATATGAAATCGAATTATTGAGGAGTACTGTTCTGGGCGTCCACTTCGCCCCCTTCCTCGATGCAATAATTCTTTAAGTAGATGTTCAGCTTGGTCTCTTTCAAAGTCTAGCACCTAGAATAAAAAAATTTAAAAAAATAAAGAAAAAAGAAGAAGAGAGATTTCATATCAAATGCAGTGGAAATTTATGAATGTTAAAATGTTTTAGCACAAAAAATTAAAGGGGCTGTTACTTGCACTAAAAAAAATATCATCATGCATTCCTTGAAGTGCATTTTCTCTTTTTTTTATTGTTGTAAGGAAGGGGTGTATGATGAGTCTTTTGGAGTGCTAATAACAGTTTCCATCATTAATATGCACCAGATAAGAACCATTTCATGTTGTAAAAAACATAAGAATCCTGTAGAGCCCAGTATCGAGTATAGTGCATAATTAAGTGTTCAATGGCCAGGCACAAAGCCATGGGACAAAATGATATAGCAAAAACAATTAAAACAAGATCAGAGTACCATTTAGACTTTTAGTTCGATATTTGATAGAACAAAGTGAGAATTACCTCTCCAAAAGCTGAGAAAAATTCCAAAAATTGCAGAGCATTTCCAGCATCCTCAGGAGGTATCTCAATCTGCGCTGCATCTGTTACAGGTTTGCCCTGAGGCAGGACAGCATCATCCTCATCCTCTTCCGCTTTGTTCTTTTTCATGCTGCATTCCTTGCCTCTGCGGCGTCCTCTGCCAGTCTTGGCCTTGGCATCATCTCTGCCCTCATTACCAATTTCCATCAACCTTCCCCGCTTTGCTTTCTTACTTTTCAGCTCATCAGAGTCCAGTGTTTCATTCAAATTCACATCACTTCCTTCAACAGAATTCTCCTTCCCTCGTTTTCTCGGAGAATCAACAACAGGATCCTATTAAAACACAAGAGCATAAACCCACTTTAAACAACACTCATCCAAACAAGATAACATAAAAAAATATCAACTTGCAGCAGCAAAATACTGTTAAATCAAAACCACCAAACCTCGTCTAAAGCAACAGCCTTTTTCCGCGAAGCACCCTTGCGTCCAGCATTCTTGTCTCGACCTAAGTTCTCTAGCCCTTTCACACTCAACATTTCAAAAACAGATTTGAACCCTTCTGCCTTGGCTGTTGGTGCAAGAAGACCAGTAGGTTGGAGACCTTTTTTGTTCCTGGGAAAACAGGTATGTCTAATCAGCATCACCAAAACACCAAAAAAACAGCAATACAATTTAATAATAATGATTGCTAGGCTACTAATTTCAAACACTTACATGCAAGTACTACAATTACAGATGCCTCTGCATTTGGGACAACTCCAGTTACCCTCACGTTCCACCTCCTCAGCTATTTCTCCATATCTATTTTCAATTTGATATCCCATACCAATTTATTCCACGAACTTTATTCGAAAAACCAAAGAGAGAGAATTGTTTTAATCTAACCTGTTCAGGAGACATCTGCAACATACATTAATTTGACAACGACGACCCTTCGTCTTGATATTGGTGCATGAGGCCGCAAAATTCAGTGTCTTCTGCCGGCACTGCGGAATGTAACCAACAAACCATTAAATAAATTGACCAAAACAAAAAATCCCACCTTTCATAATCTCCTACATTTTCTATCATCCGAACAAGAAAAACAACAACAACAACAACAAAAGTCTAAGAAAGTCTACTCTCTGTTTCTTTCAGAAATTTTCTCACCAACCAAACACACCACAAATTGGGTACGCAAATCCCACTAAAAATTAAAAAAACAAAAAATCACCTGATGACAGGTTTTTCCCTTAGCTCGGCCTCCGTGCACACGGTTTTTGATTTGGGCCACCTTATCATCCCTGACTCTTTCGCTCTCATTCTTCTGAGCCAAGGCGTTGTTTTCCAAACCAGAGCTCGAAGAACTCGCCATAGCTCTCTCCCTCTCTACCTCTCTCTTCCTCTGGATCTCAACTCTGACGCTCACTCGGATTTTAAAGCCTCAGATTTCAGTTTCAGACAGCCTGTGGCTCGACACTTGAAGAGCATGCCGAGCCGCTCTTTGTCTTCGTCTTTCAAATTTTGGCCACTTGGCGGGAGAGTTTTGGGCAGAACTCGAATTTTAGGAGTTACGAACAGACAGACAGACAGACAACCCATTTTCTAATTTTCTGGTATTTTTTTTCTTTTTTGGATGGCCGTGAAAATGGAAAGGCGCGGGTGAATATATTTCCTTATATGGTGGTAATATTTTACCAACTTTACCCTTCTTACCATTTTAAGTTGTATGCCTTCAGATATCTTTCCATAGAAGAAAAATGTGTTTCCATTTCTGAATGCCAATAGATTAGATACCATATTATCTAGATACATTTCACATTTCCACATTTTTTTTAATGCCTGTATTTTGTTAAGACTTAGAGATTTCCTCACTCTCGAATCTCGATATTTTGTATCTACTCTCGAATTTCGATATTTTGTATCTCGTAGATGCGTCTTTTATATTTAATATAAACTAATCTCTCAACACATTATGTATAATTTGGTAAAGAGAATAACAATGTATTAAATTGAACTCGACTATTTGGTCGCTTGATCTGGGCTGGATTAATATTCTAGTAAGTGTAAGATAAACCTATAAATATAAGAATAATTCAATATATTGCGGCTTACAAATTCCCTCTAGAAGGGCAAGACTGGGCCAAGACTAGATTGGACTCAGTCCCAATAATGTCGAGTCCCGTACACCAAACAGACAATGTCAACCACAACTATCGAGAAGATAAATGAAAAATGAGTTCACTTTCGTCATTGAGTACTTTCGTCATTGAGTGGAGCACATAATTCTTTTTTTTTTTTTTTTTTTTTTTTTTTTTTTTTTTTTTTCCCTAAACTAAAAAAAATTTTATGAATTGAATTTTTTTTATTTATTTAAAAAAATTTTAAAGGTTGTGGAATCTTAAAATAAAGTAGTTTATTATATAATTTCCTTCTCATTAATTGAAATTTTGTTCATTAAAGAAAAAAAATTCACCATTTCATCAATTCGCATCGAGGACAAAACAAAACAAAGCTATCTTACTCTTAACATAAAGTCCATCAATCTCAAACCATCAACCAAACAAAATCTAAAACCCCTAAAAAATGTAAATATACATGATAAGCAAAAAACAAAACTCCATAAGATATGCATTAATAACCTAATAATGCAAGGGACTTTTAGCTTAAGTAGATAAGATTATTTATTTACGCACTCTTATAATCAACTATCATCTATCTGTACTTCTTGTATAAAAAAAAATAAAAAAAATCTAATAATAGATCTAGCTAACGAAATATATGCACTTACAAAATTTAGGGAAAAAAATCTATCAATTACACAGTTACAAAATTCATTCAATTGATTAGTAATCACCAAGAAGATATAATCTAGTGAAATCAAACATGCATTTATCAATGCATTTCAAAGTGACAATTTTCATTCACAAGATCACTATAAATATTGGAAACATACCATAATTTGGATTATAACTTAAAAAATGTAATTGAAAAAGAAAAATGATGAATATTGGAGTTTCTCACCTTCGGGGGAGAGTGAGAGAGATGCAAAAGAAAAGCAGAATTATCGACGGAGAGAGATTTTGAGAAAGCTGCAAGATGAGATAGATTTAGAGGTGCGAATGAGAGATGTCTGCTGATATGAGAGTGAGAGGCGGAGACACAAAACACTGAAATAGGGGGCGTTTAGGGTTAGAAGGGTACTTTTGTAATTTTGTTTATATTAAAAAGGAAAAAAAAGTCGGTTTTACTTCGCTTCCCAATATAACGTTCATGGTTTTCGTGGCAACGATTATAGGTGAGTACATTGTCATAACGTTGATTGCCACGCTCTAACATGAGAATTTTCTTATCTCTCAAGTTGGGGCGACCCATTTGTATAATGAGGAGGCATGTTCCTTCTATCTTAAGCTTGACCCAGGTCTTGAAGCTTGGACATGAAACATAAGTTAAAACAACAATATTAGGCCCCATTTGGTAAGCTGGACTGGACTGGATATTTTCAATTAAAATGGACATGAGTCCTAGCCATCGTTTGGTGGGCTTAAAGTGTGTATAGGACTGGATATGTACCTTGGATCAAAGTCCTAAATAATTGGGGCTTAGAAACCCAACCCAAGACGTGGGCTTTGCAGCTAGATAGCATGCCTCCAGCCATCTCTCTTCTCTGTTATCTCTTCTTCTTCTTCTTTCTCTCTTCCCCTCTTCTCTTCTCTCTATTCTCTATTTTCTCCTCTCTCTCTCTCTCTCTCTCTCTCTCTCTCTCTCTCTCTCTCTCTCTGCCAAATCTTCTCTGCCGCCATATATAGACCTCAAATCTTGAATGAAAGGCATATGGTGGAAGAAAAAAATTGGTGAAAGGCAGATTCATAACTTCTTCCTCTTTATATATATATATATATAATTTTGCAATTTTTTGTTCTTTGAGATATGAAGGGAGGTGGCTGAGAAGTCTGAAGATGACGACTTATATTTGTATATATATATTTTTTGGATTGAAAATCGATTTTGTTGTAATTAATTTGGAAATGAGAATATTAAAAAAAAATGGCATACTAATCTCAACTTTGGTGTTGTATTGCACCATACAACTTCTTAAAATCCAGTCATATCCCAACAAATCCAGTGTAATGTAGAAAGGTTAATCCAATTCAATCTAGTGTAGCTTACCAAACAAGGCCTTATGGAATTAACAATGTCAAACTACAAACAAAATAAGTCCACATATAGTTTTCATTTCTATAATTTTACTTATGTAGTCGTCTAACGTTTGCAATCCAATGACAAATCCTTGTTTTTGGGAATTTTGTAGAGAATATGACAACATGCCGCACAAATGTGAGGGATTATAAGACATCGTGATAGATTATTGTGACCTTAGTGGAAACCGAGTCAAGTTTCATGATTTATTGTTTATAACTTGACAAAAAAATGTCTAAAATGTCTCCTACTATACATACGGCATGTAACCATGTGTTGTCCACTCAATTGACGAAAATAAATACTTGTCCTTGAATTGCAAAGTTAGAAACTTAGAAGGGTAAGATTACTATAATTGAACCTATGAAAATGAATCAATTACAGGCCAAAATTAGAAAAACCTTCGCGTATGTTATTGTCCCAGATAATGACATAGCATATTACATATCTCTGTACAAAATCAATAATCCAGAGTCCAGACAAGACGTTATTCATTTTTTGTTGTGCTTTGTTTGACCGTCAGCTTTTTAATAGCTAATGAAGAATGGGCGTCAAATGGAGTTTGTCCACGCAAACCATATCAGCGGTGAGCCACTCGTGGCAAAGTCCTAGTGGAGCAACAGAGATAAGGGAGGTTCCACTTGGGATTTCACTCGTTGTCACTGCCTCACTATTTTCTTTCAATCCTAGGTTTTTCATGGGATTGTTGTTCTTTGGCCGCACAGACTTCTATTAATGGGAGTATACCAAGAATTACAAATAACCTCTGACCTTGTCCCCCTCAAAAGCTCTGCAAATTTAAATTAATATCCATTTTGGAAAATCTGGGAATTGAGGTATGCAATGCAACTGCCTGTTTTTTCATTGGCATCTCCATCTTTATTGTTCTTTTGGCAAACCCTCTTAAGCTTTCTTTTTAAAAAAAAAGTTCAGTAAAGTTGGCCTTTTTGAGTGGCCTCTCTCTGTTTGGCTGCAGAGAAAAAGAAAGTCTCCTGCTTTTGCAAACTGTTTACAACTTTGGTTGCTTATGTTATACATATAAATTTAACCAAACAGACTGTGTATCAGGAAAAGATTTTTTGTTGAAAACTCTACCAAACACATGCACCCACCTGTTTCACTGTTTTCTTCAGTACCGACTTATAAGTATTGTTCCATATTTATTTGCCTAACTTTCACACGCAAAGACACAATTATCTGTTAGAGTTAGGTTATGATACCCTTTTGTTCTTTCTTTCTTTCTTTCTTTCTTAGGAATTCATGGCTGTGGTTCCAATATGCTACAAAATCCCATACAAAGGCAATGCTCAACCGAATCATTATGCAATGAGACAGAGTGATATGTCCAGCAATATGTGCAGGAATTGGCATATTTCTTCATTTCTTAGCACTGATGTGTTGACACAAAAGAAGACAAGAGAGGCAAGTGCATCTAAAGAACTAGAAAGCCATCCAAGTTTCATTTTAGCAAATAATGAAAGAAAGCAGAATATAGGCATGGTTTGGTATGCATCAGATTCTGGTACAAATGAGAAGCAACTCAGATCTTTAGATTCCTATCTTGGGAAACTCCAAAATGGCACAAATCTGCCTGCAGATAAGTCAAACAGGACAAGGGAGCCACTCACTAGAAATGGTCAGTTGAGATTAAAGAAGGGGTTGGAGTCTCTTGATGATTATTTTGGAAAACTTAATAAAGGTACAAGTAGCTTCTTTCTAATATATGTGGTGAGTAATTATTTCTAACAAAGGGCAATTAATTTTATAATTTTTATTACCTCAGAGGGAGACTCAGAGAATTATACATTTAGTTCTGTTGATCTTACTGAAGACAATCCTACTGAAAAAGTATCATCTATCAATCAAGATTCTGAAAAATCTGATGAGAGGGAAGAACAGAGGAGCTACAGAAATCCTGTAAGTACAAGGGATGATCATGGTCCTCAGAGCTCTCAAGATTCACTGCAGTATAATGAAATCTCTGATCTCTACTTAATGTAAGACCCTGCAACATCTAAATCAATATTTGAATATGTTGCAACTGAGCTTTTCCTAGCTGCTATATTTCATTTCATAGTCAATGTTAAAATTCTTTGTTTTTCATCTTGGATGCAGAAGCATATTGGGTTCTATAAATATTGCAGTTTTTCTGTTTGAGATAGCAAGTCCAGTTAGGAGTTCTGACTTAGGGCTCTTTTCTCTTCCATTACTATATGGAGCAAAGATAAATGATTTGATCCTGGTTGGAGAATGGTGGAGGCTTGTGACACCCATGTTTCTGGTACAAGATTGACAATTCGGTTCGTGTTTCCGTTCTGTTTCCATTTAACATTTATTTTGATATTATTAGCTCTGTTGCATTAGGAAGTTGGGCATTGATTTGGATGTGAAAATATTTATAAAAAAATTATAGGGTATTTGCATTAGGAGGAAGTTAGGCATTGATCTGTTATATGGTTTGGCTCATAGAACTTCCTCTTAGAAACATTTGGTATATGCAGCACTCAGGACTCTTTCACATAGTCGTTGGCTGTTGGGGGCTTGTCACATTTGGGCCTAAAGTGTGCAGAGGCTATGGTTCATTTACATTTTTCTTGATTTACATACTTGGAGGAATCTCTGGCAACTTGATTAGCTTTCTTCATACACCAGAGCCAACTGTTGGTGGAACAGTGAGCTGCTCCTCAACTTCTTTATCCACATTTCAATTTTTTTTTCTTTTCCAAATTTTATCTAAGTCCAATAAATTGATCACAGGGACCAATATTTGCCATGATGGGAGCTTGGCTCACTTATCAGGTCCAGAACAAAGACATAATTTCAAAGGAAGTTTCAGAGGGCATGTTCCGAAAGGCGGTAATAACTACGCTTCTTAGCTTCACATTGAGCTGTTTTGGTCCAATTGATGACTGGTAAGGCTTCAAACCAAGTGAATTATATGAGTTACACAAATTGACCATATGCCATAGGATCTTTAGACATTGCTTTTGACACCCTTTTATTGGGTAAATGTTGCAGGACACATTTTGGAGCTGCATTTACAGGCGTGGCATTTGGGTTTTTGACATGCCCAACTCTTCAACTGGACGATGCATCATCTTCAACAAGTGGCCAAGAGGAAGGCATCACACTTGTCAGACGTTATGCTGATCCTTGCAAATCACTGTTTTTCTTTACCTTGTTTGCTCTTGTTTTAACTTGTTTGCTTTTCTTTGTTGAACCTCCACTGAATGTCATTGCATCAGACACTTCTTTGTAAACGTGAAGAAGGATACAATCATCAATTACACAACATACTATCTTATATATGTTTCTGGCCTTGTGTAGCAGACGAGAAGAGGGCATTTGTAAGTTGTTCAAATTTGACAGCGCTTATTAAGCAATTTGCACCATTTTACACATGATTTTACTAATTGACACATTGATTAATACTATCCGTCGCTCACATATATTATAATACGTAAATAAGTAACACTACATTTCGGTTTTTATACTAAAAAAACTTAAATAAACCCTAGTCAGCTTACATGTGATCCAAGTGACTTTTTGTTCTACATGTCTCACAAGTCCAAACTAATTTCATTCTTTTTTCTGCTTTTCTTTTCTTTTTCCGAACCAAAATTCTTCATGGTTTATCTCCACGTTAAAGGCACCATGCCTTTGGTAGTGACACGTTTGTAATTGGGTTCCCAAAAATAAACCACGTAAGCAAAGCTCTGTCCTTTTGTTCCATCAACTTGGATGACCAACCATGAACTTCTTATGAGTCACTCAGGCTATGTGTTGAAGAGTGAGATTCCATGTGAACGTTAAAGTGTAACTTGGTTGCCTGCTTGAGCTTGAGCTTTGATAATGGCGGTTGGAAGGATTGGTAGAGGCTTAATGGCTCCTCTTATAGCAGTGAACTTGGTGGTCCATCTGATCATGCTTGGACTTGCTGGATGGTCTCTTGATAAGTACATCAATGGAGAGCAAAATCACCCTCGTATGCTCTCTCTCTCTCTCTCTCTCTCTCTCTCTCTCTCTCTCTTAATCACTATATAAACTCTCTTTTTTTGTCGTAATCGGTTAATTTATGCTCATTCTAGATAAATTAAATGGGTTTTGAGCTCTGATATTTTGTGTACAGATTTGGGAGGAAACCCATCAACAAGCTTTATGTTGATCTTTGCATTGATAGCTGGGGTTGTTGGTGCTTGTTCTATGCTCTATGGGTGGATGCATCTTCGGATATGGAGAACTGATAGTCTAGCTGCTGCTTCTTCTTCAGCTATCATAGCCCAGGCTATTGTTGCCCTCGCTTTCGGGTAGTTTACTTAAATCTCACCTCTCCACACCAAAATCAACAATAAATATTTGCATTTCATAAGAAAAATTAAGAAATTAATCAGTTTTGGTTGGATGTTTTTTTATGCAGTTTCGTATGTAAGGAGATCATATTAGGTGGACACAGAGGAAAACGCTTGGTAAGAGAATTAATAAAATGCAAATATTGACAATTTGAAGCAAAATTAAATTCATTAAACTAATTATTGACTGGTTTTTCAGTAAACATTGGAAGCTATGATTGCAATATCACTAATAAGTCAATTGATGTATCTGGTGCTTCTGCATGCTGGGATTTTTAAGAGCAGATATAGATCAGGTGGAATTGCCATGGGTCATCACCCCCGAACCACAGGCACGACAACTGCTATCTGAGACTTCTGTTCATATCAGAAGGGGTAGATTAAATGACACACTTTGTGTTTGTATCAGTTTTTGTACGCAAGGAACTTGCATGAGTGTTCATTGTGAATTTTGCCAGTCAATCCACCCAACTCAAAAAACCAAAGAAAAAAGCTTGCAGAACCCACTTTTTATGAAATCTTAATCAACTCCATAAGGAAACTAGTTCTTCCTCCTATATAGATATGTTACTGGTTGATCTTAAATAATACTGTTATACAGAACCAACAATGGTAGTGGTTATTCGAGCTACCGGAAAATTTTCTGAAACAAGTTCATCAGTTTTATGATTCTTCTGCTTCATCAGCTTTCCAAACTACTATCGCCAGAGTATGGCGTCCCCCACAAGCAACAAGTTTGGCAATCCAGTGTCCATTGTCTTCAGTGCCATTTCTGGGAGGGATGTTGATGGGCACTTCCATTGGTTGACCGGTTGTCACCTTCCTTCCATATCCAAGACGTCCATGGTCACCTCGACCAAACTGCCAATATAAAGACAAGCCACTATAATTGGAACTTCAACTGTTTTAATGCATGCAATCCAGATAATCAAACTGGTGGAACCAGATATGATGTAAAAGAGAAATCAAGAGATAGGAACAGCAAAATCAAGTTAATGAGAAGTTCACGTAGAGCAACCAGATGAATAAAGATTGTTCAATAGTTTACTAAGTTTATGAGCTCAGAGCATTTTCAGATTTTCTTACCGAAAACATGCGCCCATCACGTGTTAATGCAACCGAGTGAGTGCCTCCACAAGACACCTACATCACAAGTAAACACAATCCATCTCAAACTGTAGGAAGGAAATGAGATTTATCACAAGTGTGCAGGATTTTGAAAGCTAAGCTAGAAATAAAAACAATGCCAAATTAACAAGAAAAGTTTACATAATCCGTAGGTAACCTTAAATTATGATTTTGAACCCAAGTGCATGAGATCTCTATTACAAGACATTTTTCAAATCCAGAAGACATCAATTTTCTATACATTACCATGACCTGCATAAGCAATGTTAAAATAATTCCAGAACCCCCAATTTAAGTCATGATGCACAACGTTACTTTATATACTCAAAAGGTTACCTAAACACCATATGGTCCATCTAAGCTATTTAGAGGAGCGACGAGGAATAACTGTAATCGTACCTGAACAATATCCTCCCCAGCTAAAAGATGAACCCTTTGGGGCACCATTTTACTGCTTTTATCATTATCGCCAAATCCAAGCCTTCCGTGTTCCCCTCGTCCCCAACCATACACCTGCAATAAAATAATATACGCACAGAATAAGGTTGTCTGTTGGCTCAGGGTTAACAACTCAGGAATAGTTGAACTATGGCACATTGATCTCAGATGGTCACTGATGCCTGAATATTTAAAAAGCAGGACTATCTAATACAGCTAAAAGCACTTTTTATTTATTTATTTATTTTCATGGTGCTTAATTGGAAACGCCACTTGGGTGGTATCCCTTGGAGTAACAAGCGAGGGAGCAAGTAATCACCTCTCCATCATCTGTGAGTGCAGTAGAATGCCATCCTCCAGCAGCAATATCCACCTATAGGTGCAGGTAGGTTAAAAAAACATATTAATACATTATAAATTACAAACATTCAACTACAAACACATGAAACCTACGACCCATCATATCATAATCTTCGTGGCTACACAACAATAAAAAAATCAGGGACAAGCAAGTCAGAATTAGATGAACATGAATAGGTGTATGGGACCAAGGTCCCCATCTCTGCCTAATTTGAAGGGGCTCATAAAATATTTTGTGACTAACACACTTGCATCTTCAGTTCTTTTAAATGATATAAATGGATTTTATCAGGGCTTCACAAAGAAACATACCTATGTCTTCAGAACTGTTTTTACAAGATATCATACATGCAGTTTTAAATGTTTCTAGTCGCTAAAGGTATGTGCCAAAGGAAACCCAGGTCTGTATCAGCAAGCCTAAACATTAGCAACTAACTGCCACATAAGTTCACCTCTATAGATGCCCCACTTCTGCCTTAAGCCTAAGCACATTTTTCACACCAATACATTACATGCTCCCAAATCTGCTGAACCAAAATCTGTATATAGCGACCATATGGTCTAAAAAGATTTCAAAACTTCTTCACAAGACAACTCAATCATGACGAAATAAAACTAGGTCTGGAACAATACACTTCAATGGATGATAATATATCAGAAGGCACACATTCAGATGAAATTGAGATAAGCACACATGGTGCTGGGCATAAATGACTACAAGAAATGAAACAGACAGATAAAAGGCAATGTATTACAAACCAAAGTAAGACCAGAAAGACCCTGGACAGGAATAGGTTGTGATCTAGGCTGGGTATCTCCAGTTCCAAGCTGTCCATATTCATTGTTACCCCATGCCCATAAAGTACCATCCTCTTGAAGAGCCAAATTATGAAATGCCCCAACTGCAATGAGCTTCACTGCATCAAGACCTTGTACTAGCACAGGTGTTGAAATTTGTTTTCTGAAAATAAGAAGAAAAGTTCACAGAGCATTCTAGGATAAATAACAGTCCCATGAGTTCTCAATTACAACTATGCAGGTAACTATTAACATATGAAACATGTTTGATATAGTACAACCCAGAAACTAGGCTGCCATCTAAGGAGTGCTTGATAAGAAATTGACAGAGTCAAGTCTAAGGGCAACATACATGTCTCCCGGAGGCCACGGCTGACCCCAAGTCCATACTTGCCCATCACGTGTAAGTACCACAGAGTGAGTACCCCCAGCAGCTACCTGTGATGTAAAAATCAGAACATGTAAATAAAACTTTATTCAAAAAGATGTCACTTGAGAAACAGAGGCATCCCGCATCCAAAAATTTGTATCATGCAGGTCAATGTTCTACTCTTTGGCATTTGTAACTCACCTGGCGGACTACAAGCTTCGGTGCACAGCGCTGAGGAATCACTATATCCCTTCTCAAAGGTCTACCAGTGTCATCTTTCCGCTCAGGTTCTTCACTACACTGTCCATACTCATTTCCACCTGCACCAAACAACTTTGGTACACTTAGAATGATAAAAAAGGTAACCTCTGGGGTCTAGTTCAACACCCTCAAGAGAACCAAATAAAAGCCCTACATGGAAGCAGAAGAAATAAAATATCCTAGATGTTATATACATGAATTAAAAAGCAACCATCTTTTGGTATCCGGCTTAAAAGAGTTACATTTTGTTCTTCTATTGGATTCTGAATAATGAAAACAAGATTACCCAATATTATGCAATAGCTTCTTATCCAAAATATTCACAGTAAACAAAAAGAGAGTAAAGAGAGCTCGATTAAATACCCCAGGCATAAGCACGGCCTTGATCATCAACAGCCAAACAATGCCATCCACCAATAGCAGCCTATATTTCAAAACATCCACTAGTTAAATTCGATGAAAACTTATGCAAACAATTAGCTATTTCCATAGCCAAGCATGGTACGATGATATGTGAATTACCTGAACAATTTTAACATTGGCAAGAGCTTTAACTTGGCTAGGAATGTTCTCGGTTTTGGTCTCTGGAGGGTGCCCCAAGGTTCCTCTTTGGTTCCAACCCCATGTAAACAACTGGTACCCAGTTCAATTCACAACACACAAAATTACAACAACAAAATAAAGTATCCAAATTTCAGTAAAGCAAGACCCAATACTTAAAACAGTGCAAAATACGCACAAATACAAGAAAAGGGTAAGAAGCAAAAGAGTGATAAAGACAAAGTAAAGAAGAAGAAGAAGATAAAGGGGGAAGGGGCCCACCTTGCCATCATCGCAAATGGCAAGAGAGTTTCGGCTACCAGCGACAACAGACCGGACAGTCCGTGACTGGAGGGCTTCGACAACACATACCCACTCCTTCTCCTCGTTGTTCCCGATTCCCAACTGTCCATCTTCACCCGAGCCCCTGTGTGTTGTAAAACAAATACAATGAAACGTGTTTTACTCTCTGTGTGTCTCTCTGTGCTTCACCAACCAACCATAATAGCACAATACCACAATAGCATAGTGAAAAATACGAGAGAGAGCAGATCGATACCAAGTGACAATGGCAGCATCGGATGCCATTTGAACCTGAAACAGTGCTTGAATTGAAGCAGGGAGACGTTTATAAACTAATAAAACTATAAACTAGAAAGAACCCATAAAGCTAGCAGGGAGAGAGAGAGAGAGAGAGAGAGGGAGAGAGCGGAGCACTGTGACTGTGTTTATCAATATATCATATCATATGTATATTATGCCATTTATATGCTGTTGCAATTTGGGCAGGGGAACTAGGTTCCAAAAGTCCTTTAGTGAAAGTGGTCCTTCAACGACGCCGTATAGTTCAACCAGTGACAAAACTTTTGCATTAAAGAATAAATAGATAAGTAGACGTGAATTATACTAGTTAGCTGAGACAGTGTACAAATTTCCTTCCATCCCCTTCCCGATACCCTAAAGTAGTTACTAGGATATCACTTTGTTAAAAAAATAGATAAATGAAAGCAATTGATTAAGCCCCAACTTGAAACAATGACAGGGCCCAAATTGAATTACAGGCTTAAAACAGACAGGGTCTTTCATTTTAGTCAATCGAGCCCACCTAAAGTCAAACACTGGCTTTGGCGCCTGAACATTGCCTTCTCTCCCTAACAACTATATAATGTCAAGAGACTCAAAGTCTAAAGAAGAAGATATTAGAGAGAGAGAAAGAGAGAGAGAGAGAGACGAAACAGTAGTAAGAAGATCGCAGATTCACACAGACCCATCAGAAGATATGATGATCCTTGAGAAAGAAGATGCACGTTGCTCCACAGAAATGAACCAACAACATCATTTCAATGGTGGCCGAACGCGCAAATGTTTCCAAGACTGTATCTTGATGTTCAAGAACTGGGTTTGTTCAACCAGTTTGATCTTCATGATCACAGTTCTTGTTCTGGCCATGCTCTGTTGCGTAGTCGCAAGTGAACCAGAAGATCATCGTCAAGAGCAGCAACGAGGCCATGATCAGATTCTGTACAAGAATGGGATGATGATCAGGATCATCACAAAGATGATTACTTTGGCAGTTCTGGCCTGGTTTACCATCTATTATCAACGCCTCCTGCTTGATGAAGCGCCAGAGGAAGAGAGAGGGTAAGAAGCAGAACAAGAAGAGGCACATAATGATAATGGTGGTGGCCGAATGTGCATGCAATGGTTCCAATACCGCATCTGGGTTTTCAAGAACTGGGTTTCTCCAACAAGGTTGATCATCATCATCATCATCATCATCATCACAGTTCTTGTGCTGGTGGTGCCCCGTTGTGTCCTCGCAAGTAAACCAGAAGAACGTCCTGAGCAGCAACGAGGTCATGATCATATTCTGTAAAAGAATGGGATGATGATCATAATCACAAAGATGATTCTTTTGGCAGTTGCGGCCTGGTTTGCCATTTATTATCAAAGCCTCCTGCTTGGTCAAGCGCCACAGAAAGAGACAGAGCAAGAACCAGAGCAAGAAGAGGCACATAATGATAATGGCGGTGGCCGAATGCGCATGCAATGGTTCCAATACTGCATCTGGGTTTTCAAGAACTGGGTTTCTCCAATCACTTTGATCATCATCTTCACAGTTCTTGTGCCCCGTTGCGTCTTCGCAAGTGAACCAGAAGATCGTCGTGAGCAGCAACGAGGCCATTTTCATATTCTGTACAAGAATGGGATGATGATTATGGCACTTGTGGCCGTCTTTGCCCTCTATTATCAAATTCAACTTGATCGAGTACAAAGAGGTCGGGCAGAAGATTTACATGGTGGTATCAATAATGGGGCAGAAGATTTACATGGTGCTATCGATAACAACCACCCCGATGAGGGTAATAATGCAGGGAACTTCGCTGCACGGGTTGCAGCTCAGAATGACCAGGAGAAGTCTGACAGAGGATATTGACAATGAGCATGCATTGAGGAGGAGGTGATCAAGATTACACATGAGTTCTAGGTGATCATCTTATGAAATTAATTGATATCTTTACTCCTTTTTTCTTTAAAACAATCTTTGTACGTACATCGTCTGAACCAGACACGCAACATACTGATTTCTATATTGTCTGGTTAATTTCAACTTCATGTACATGTTTTTGGCAACATTGAGGAATTACTAATACAATTTTCAGAGGAATGATGTATATGGACGCTTAAGTTGATTGATTAAACAACTTTAGAGTTCAATTAATCTTGTTTGTTTTGAAAATTCCCAAATTCAGGATATAATTTTCTTTCATTTATGCAGATGCAAATGCTTGTCAAAATCCATCTGTTTGAATAAATCTGCAATGGGTTGATTGTACTAAATTATTGTTTCTATTGGTGTTGCAGTTGGTTTTAGAACTAGGCTCTGGTTTGTATCTCTCAGTGATTGTTGCTCTCTTGGGCCTTTGTTTTCTTTTTCTTTTTTTAGATTCAAAACTATATATATATTATTAATTCATGAAACTCCATTTCCAGGAAGGAAAAAAAAAGGAAAAAAGAAACAGATCTTCCAAACAACAAATTAATGGTAGGCAACTCACAATGTCTATAGGGCCGTTTGTAAAAAGCCAGTTATAGTTGCTAGCTAGTTCCTGTTAACCCCTACCGAAAGAAAATGATGCAAATACAAAAGTGCAGCCTCTCTGGTTATGAAGACCTTGAACCAGTTAATCTAGCTAGGTATTGAAAATCACAAGACTGCTGAATACTAGAACAACAACAAACTTAATCGAGAAAACTAGTTTACCAAAGACTTGGAGTGAACCAGACAGGTCGAGTGTGAAATAAAGTAAGAAAACCATGACTGGATAACCGGAAATGTCCCAAGCTTCTGTTTGTCATGAAAAATACTCCGCGATCGTTGCTACGCGACGACAGTGATGCTAAACAAGAATAATTGAAAGCAAAATAGATACAGTTTCTATCAAGTGTCTTATCATCATGATTAGGTATGAAGATGTTGGCCGTCTCGCTTAGAAACAATATTCGATCACCTAGGTCAACAACTTGGACCCATTGAGGACGATCGTCACTGTCATGCTCCAACTTGAAAACTCGAAATCCCTTAGTCTTGGGTGGATTGATGTAACTGTGACGTTTGATCTCAAACAAAGGAAATGCTTGATCTGCCTTGAAATCAAAATTAATCCGACGAAAAATCAAAAACAGATCCATTGATGTAGCATCTGTTGCTAGGTGCATGACCTCATAGTCGCTCACACGCAGGACATCACCCATTCTCCATATATTGTACCTCAGGAAAGGAATTCGCATGTCTAGCCTTTGAGCCCCATAGCTAATAGGGCCATTGGCATTGGGATCTTGGATGATGTCAAAGACCGTTAAAAACTTTAATCCATTATCAGTTGCAGCATATAATTTTCCATCCATGAATTCTATATCACAAAAATTGATTCCTTCATGGATGAGGGTCCAGGATTTGTCTGTAGGCCTGCACAAAGCTAAATGGCCTACTGAGCAAAGGCTAGCCACGAAACAATGTTGGCTTGTTGGTGTTGCGGAGGCAACTACTTTAACAATGGGGAAGGAAGATCCATTGTTGCACCCGCATGGAAGCAGAGTACTGGATTGTGAGGATGGGAGCATCACTCGAGCACCCGAAATCGGATTCAAGAAAAATAAGATTATATCTAAAGTGCTTTGCCGACCCCGATTATGCAAGTATAATGAGCATGATTTAGCGAAATTATTACTCTCTGGACGCCACAAAATGCTATCAACCATGACCATCCAACCCTCAATTGACCCAACACAAGCCAATCTGTTCATCAGATTTTTGTAAATAGCGGGAATATAATTTGGTATTGCCCTCTTGAGAGTTATTTTCGGGGCATGACTTAGACTTGCAAAGTAAGGGTCTCTGAAGCACGAAGGGTGAGAGCCGATCATAAGCAATGGATGTTGACGAGCAGGAGGGCAATTCTTGGTGGCAATTGCCATGTCAACAGAGGCTCGCCAAGAATGGCACACTGCCTTGCATCGTACATAATCTGATATCGAGAGCCTCTGCAGAATTGATTGCATGATATCTTCCGGAACTTGTTCTGACCACTTGCTGATGCTGCTCTTGTTTATCCAGGAACCAAGTTTTTGTGTAACGAAATTTCTTCGCACCCTTCTAGCAGAGATCGAGAGCTTGCGGCCAATAAAATCAAGAGTGAGCAAGATCAACATTCTTGTCAGGCGAAAGTATGGAAATATAACTCCAAGCGCTCTAACAGCAACCCTAGCCCATTTCTCCCTTGTGTTAAAAGAAACGTTCTTCCTAATGTATCTAGTGAAGGACTTTTCTAGTAGTCCAGTACCGATCATGTAGGCCACTTGTAATGATATCAAAAGATATAAAACTTGATCCAACCAAAAACAATATTCCATCATGGTCTAGAATGGATGCACATAAATCTTCGTCTTCCTCGATAAACCTTCAACCTCTCAAAGTCAGAACGCCTATTTATAAGAAATAGAGAGATCCCTAATTTCTTAGCCTATGTTTCCTAATACAATTGTGAAACATACATGGACACGGTTTTCTCGTAGTTTTTGTATGTTAAACCTGAATGAAGTAAACCTTCTTGTCCTCTTGTAATTTGATACCAAAAACAAAACTTTACCACCTACAAGGCTTAGCCTACAATTTTTCTTTTTTTGCTGGAGATTAAAGAAGAGCTTAGTTGGATAAGTAGACATGAGTAGTATTGACCTATTAATCCGGTAGCAAATAATAATAAATAAATAAACCATTTAAATTCAATACCCCAAATGGAGGCTTTATTAGAAACAAACAATCACGCTGAAACCCCTTTTTTTTCTCACTTTACTTGGAAACAAAAGAAATAAAATACTAGATGTTGTTATTGATAACCATGGCAGAGGAGAGAGAGAGAGAGAGAGAGAGAAATGTAAACCAAGCTCTGGAATTTTCTGATTTTTATTTCTCTAATTAATTACAAATGAAGCTCTAATTGCTTTCTAATTAAGTAATCTATTATCTGTTGGAGAAGAATCAAAATACAACCAAATAACATAATAAAACAATACGAAATATATTCTATATATATAATCAAATCAATACAGCAATAGAATAAATTATAAAATATTGACTTGGATTAGATGATAGAGTCCTGCAATGTTGCAATATCCTTTAGACAATATACCATCACAAATCAAAGCCTAAGCACTGTGGTATTGATTTATGGCGAATAGTGATATGCTTTCTCTCAAGAAGTATTTATGTGTAAGAATAATAATGCAATTCCAAATTCTATGTCTTCTGGTTTGGACGAATTGTCAATATATAAAGGTCTGATATCTCTTCATCCAACAATTATAATAGCTGTTTAAACATATTCGAATTTCAAATAATGATTTTATCTAAAAACAAATATCTAATTAATAAAAATAAATAATAATTAAATCAACAGAGCCTAAGGCCCAAGACCCATCTTTTGACAATTATATATATATATATATATATATTTATTTATTAACCAAATATATATACTCTAAGCCCAAAGCAAGATGAGACCCAACTTTGCCTTCACTAGGCCTATACCTTATTTAGTATTTCTAAAGTGTTGGTGCTTATAAACTATGAAAGGAAACAACTCCCTTCTAATGTCGGACTAAGTGAAAGTGTATTTTCCTATACAAGAACTCTAACAATACCCAACATTTGTATAGGAAGTTATAACGTGCATATTTGAGAGAAAACGTAGATATAACACACATAAGGAGATGTGTCTTTTGGACTTGAACCTACTCTAGTGAAGATTTATCGGATTTACTATGTGACACAGTGAATATAAAATCTTGAACTGTTCACCTATTGTAGTAAACCAAGACAACAAGTATCACATATGTTATATCTTAACATACCACTTATTCATATGTTTGTGTTCATTTTGTTCTTGAACAAATTTTGGATTCATAGGAGCTTTAGAGAATTTAGCCATCTCAATCTCATAAATGCGACCCCACATTTACTCCTACATAGGTAAAGTTGACTAAGAATAGTCTGCCCTATTCCTCTTGATTTCAAGAAATCAACATCATTAAACTTTTGTACCCTAATAGACTTCTTACAGACAACACACTTCTTTCTATCATAGGAATGAGATATAAGTGTGTTAGCTCATTTGAACCATGCCTAACCAATTTGCCTATTGAACCTAGACCATGAGATCTCCAATAAGCTAGGTTAGGTTTTCGTTAGGCCGATTCATTTCTTGAATTGGCTTTAATCTCATTCCCCTCGATGTTTGTTTAATTTGCTCTTTTGACAAGCCTTTTGTAAGTAGATACGCAAGATTTTGTTTTGACCTTATATAGTCAATGGAAATTACTCCATTTGAGAGCAACTGCTTGATTGTTGTTGAGGCCCAAAAAATCCACTGCTTGGCCCAAATGAATTCTCGGCCTAGCGCAATACCTTATTGAGAAAAAACCCGACTTGGAGCACACAAAAGTCCGTCATGCACGAGTCACACTCCACGCATCATGCCAAATAAATAATCCGTCATGCTAGGAATCGAGATTAAGATTATAAAATGCATTATCTTTGCAAATCCATGCTAATTATCCCGTCAAGCATAATAATTAAAAGCATGCCAAGCGATATGCCATGCCAAGCAGGAAATCATTATTACACACCCAACCACGCTACAAGCCTAAGTGGGCCCAAGCCACTCGAATGCCCAGGGCTTGCTTGAGTGGGTTGTGGTATGGATGATAATAAATTTTCATGAGGCCCATTGATGGACCAAGAAGTGGAGGTTCCGGGTTGCTTGGGAGCCTCGGAACCTAAGCCCATTTCTTAGGCCCAAACATATGGGTGAGCACAAAAAGGGGAAAATAGTCCAACTAAAATAACCCAACCAAAAGCCCACTAAAACTAACCCAAATAGCCCAATATTTGATAGGGGTGACCCATTTGTTTAAGGGGCTGATTTCCTATCCTAGAAAAATAGATGTAGCAAACAACTAAAAAACCCCATCTATTGGTTGAAGGATAAAGCCATGAAGAAGCCATGGAAGATCACGTTGATTAATGGGAAGGAAGAAACAAGTTTCAAAGCAAAAGAAACATGCAAGGACCCAAGAGAATATTAGCATGTAAGCTGCCAGGAAGAGAAGCACCCTTCAGACCAAGCATGTGCATCTGTTTGCTTTCCTTTAGCAGATCTGGTCAGGGAAATGAGGGCCTTGAGCTCCCAAAACCCCTGATTTTGTGTAAAGGAGCAGAGTAGATTTTACCAAAATATGATGATTGAAGGGATAAGAGGAGAAAGAAAGGGAAAGACTTGACAAAATGGGCTAGAAGCCATTAGGATTTCTTGGGAAAAGATGGCTCCCAGCGGCTATAAATATGGCCTCTTCTACCCAACGAAAATCATCCACATCCAGAGAGAGCAAGCTTCCTCTCCTACTTGCAAAAACCAGCAATTTCGTGCACTGTTTATCTTCCTACATTTTCTTCTTCTGACAAGTTGCCAGAAGAACATAGTTCTTACCTTTTCTCTTCTTAGCCATATCTGCTCGAAAACCTCTTCTTCCTCACCTTAAACACTCCACTTTCTCCCTAGGAAGCCATATTTCCTTTTTGGTGCTCAACTCATGCTAATTTTCCTCCTATGCCACAAGCCCCTCATGCCAAGCTCAAAAGTTTATCTGTAAGCATGAAAAAATTACCTGTAAGTTTCCATTGTTTTGGCTGGTGAAGGTAACCAAAATACTTCCTAAGGCTCTGCTGCCATTTCGAAGTATTTTTGGGGCTTAATTTTCAAATTCAAACACATGGGATATTTTCTTCAGTTTGCTTCTTACGGCAGCCCAGCCCATTTGTAGCTACTATAAGAAAAAGGCCCCTACAATTGTATTATGCCTTCATCTAATATGTCTAGACTTTCCATTGTATACATTAGTTTTAGCCCTTGCTTGAGCAGCCATACAATCACAATGTATACAAACAGCCATTACAGGCTTAGGCCAAATAGGTATATCCTTCAAAAAAATTCTTAGCCATTCGACTTCTTCACCAGCCTTATCTAAAGCTACAAACATCATGTTGTTGTAAGCGGCGACAATATAATCTGGTATTATTGCTTTCTTGTGAGTTGTTTTCGGGTCAACACTTGGACTTATAGAAGCAATGGTCTCTCAAGCACGAACGGTGAGAGCAGACCATAAGCAATGGATGTTGGGGAGCAGGAGGGCTATGCTTGGTGGCAATTGCCATGTCAACAGAGGCTCTCCAAGAATGGCACACTGCCGTGCATCGTACATAATTTGATATGGAGAGTCGTTGCAGAATCGATTGCATGATATCTTCTGGAACTTGTTCGGACCACCTGCTCATACTGCTATTCTCTTCTTGGGAACCAAGTTTTCGTGTAACAAAATTTCTTCGCATCCTTCTAGCAAAGATCGAGAGCTTGTGGCCTATAAAATCAAGAGTGAGCAAGAGCAACATTCTAGTTAGGTGATAGTATGGAAATATAACTCCAAACGTTGTAACAGCAACCCTAGCCCATTTCTTTTTTTTCTTTTTTTTCTTTTTTTTCCCAGTACAAGTGATAGTCTAAACTAAAAGGGAGGGGAGTTTCTCACACACACACACAACTAAGATGTCACGAGGTTCGAACCTGAAACTTCTGGTCTTCAAGGCCATTTCCCATTAAGTTAGACTCCGTTTGACCCATGCCTCTTTATAAGTAGTAGAGGGATCCTATAATTTTTTGGCCTATTATTGACCTAATACAACTATGAAACCATTGTGGACACGGTTTTTCTTGTATTAATAATGCAACTATGAAACGTATATTCATCTCCGAATGGACACAGTTGTCTCGTAATTTTGTATCCTAAACCTGAATAAAGTAGAAAACCTTAACTTTTTTAATTTGATATGAAAAGAAACTTGAGAAAAACCTGAATGAAGTAGTAAATCTCCTATTTTTCAATGGCTTACAGCTTACAATCATTTTCTGTTGGAGATGAAAGGAGCTTAGTTGTGTTGATTAAACTCTAGGCCCCTTAATCTAGTAACAATAAAAGAAAAAAAGGACCCCCACTTAATCCAAGAAAAAACAATTTATTTGAATTTCTTTTTCTTTTCAAATTCGAAGTACTTGCCGGTACTTGATTGTCAAGTGAATCAGATTTAACTTTGGCACAATCCTATCGCACCTAAACGCACTCCAATAGAGGCAAAAATACAAAACATCACATCTTCGCAACATTGCAAATCAGAAGAAGGAAACATTAGAAACCACTACTTTTTTAACACTAAATCATATAGCGCAGCACGCAAAGCACTGAAGCAAATTCTTCTCGCCAATTATAAGAAAAACAATTTTGCGATCCCTTGGAATACTCCAACCCTAAGCTGGAACATTTCAACTTTGAGTGCAGCGGCACTCAAGATCGTCAAGTTCATAGAGAAATTCTGCTACAACCACATGGCATCTATTACAAAGGTCCCAAGATAAAGGTACACAATACAAATCCTATGAAACAGAGCCCTGTTACTGCTGAGCTTCAGCTGATTCACGCTTTGATGCTTCCTTGATTTCATCCCCGGCATCATCCTAAAATACCAGATAAACAATTACATTTTAGTCGACCAAAATAAACAAACACTGACGGGGGGGAACTTAAGAAAAAGAAAAGGTCATCAGACGGCTTTGCATGAATGCAAAAGTGAAATGATCGGTTGCATCACAGGTAGATGAGAATATTATAGTGATGCATCCTGATCTTATTGTCCCCTTGCTTTTCTCCCTTTTTGGAGTAAATGCAAGAACTATCACCAATCATATCCAGTGAGCAGCAAACTTTAAGGACTCTAAAGTGATCCATCCATGGACATGATAACAGAGGAAAAATCTTTAATGGATTTTAAAAATGAATGCGCCAAACAAAGGGTTCACAGTAAATACATGCATACACATCCTATTATAAACATTCATACATAATTATGCATCTGCATACAAAGAAAAAGAGGTAGGGAGAGAGAGAGAGAGAGAGAGAGAGAGAGAGAGAGAGATACCGTGATATCGGAAGTCCAGAGTGTCAGATTGTCTCGGAGAAGTTGCATGATCAAAGTACTGTCCTTGTATGATTCCTCACCCAATGTGTCAAGCTCGGAAATAGCCTCATCAAAAGCCTGAGCAGGTAAAATGGAATACATTAAACATCCAATTCTGACGTTTATTTTAACACTTACGAAACCTAAATTCAGCCTGAAGCAAGACCAAACATCATTTACCAAAGAGTAAAGACAATTTCATTTAAGAACTTGATGTCAGAAAGTAAAACATATATAACTTCATATGGTGATCTCCAGAATGGCTAAACAACCCCTCAAGTAAGATAATGCACAGCATTCACATACAGATAATAGAGCATGTCAAAATACAAAATAGAACATGATAGCTAATCTGTGTAGTAAAATTACAAAATAGAGCATTTAAAAGTTCACATCCGGAAAGTATATTCACCGCACGCCAACTCTTGTCCAAATACATTAATCATTATTCAGAAATGGTAAAAATCTGATGGGCAGTGTTCTCGGGGTTGAGAGAGCATTTCTTGTAGCGCTTAATGGACAACTATTCAGCATTTCTCAAGAGACATAACCAGACAAAGCAAAGGACAACAAAGGCTTTTCCAAAACTTATAGACCACCTATAACATTCTCAAAGAAAGTTGCACCAATTGCCTTTAGGAAAAAAGATTTCTCATCGATCAAACAAATGCCAGCTGCACTAAAAATCCATCATTGGGACCTAGAACTTTCATAAAGGAAAATGTAAACTAGAAAGGAAAAAAAACGATGTATATTGAACGCCTATGTAATCAACAACCATTGAAAGAATTAGGCCAGACTACAGAGATTAGGATGCAATCATGTAAGCAATCATACACAGAAACAGAAAAACAGAAAATAAATAGTAAGTATAAAGCCTTGAAAATAAACCTGTTTTGCCAGATTGCACGCACGGTCTGGTGAGTTAAGGATTTCATAGTAAAAGACTGAGAAGTTAAGTGCAAGCCCAAGCCTTATTGGGTGGGTTGGAGCCAGCTCAGCAAGGGCAATGTCCTGCATCAAATAACACAACATAAGCTTCACGATCTCCACAAAAAAAGACAATACAATTAAAAACTGAAACTGGCAGAACGGCAAGCTGAAACCAACCTGAGCAGACTTGTAAGCCAACAGGGTGCTCTCAGCTGCTTCCTTTCTCTCGCCTCCAGTCTTAAATTCAGCAAGGTACCTGTGGTAATCACCTTTCATCTTCAAATAGAAGACCTTGGATTCAGCAGATGAGGCAGATGGAATGAGGTGTGACTCAAGAAGATTCAAGATACCATCACAGATCTTGCTCAACTCGGTCTCGATCTTGCTCCTATATTCCTTGATAATTGCAACATGATCCTCATTGCCCCTGCTTTCCTCCTTCTGCTCAATGGAAGAAATGATTCTCCATGAAGCTCTCCTAGCCCCAATCACATTCTTATAGGCCACAGAAAGGAGGTTTCTTTCCTCCACAGTTAGTTCCTCGACATCAACGGTCTTTGCAACTTTTTCCATAAATTCAACCATTTCCTCATAGCGTTCAGCCTGTTCGGCCAACTTGGCCATGTACACATTGTCCTCACGTGACGAATCAGTTGGCGACATCTTTGCTATGTGTAAGTAATTATCAAACCTGGGTATTAATTCAACAAACGTGAATTAAATGCATGATCTACATGCATACACAAGGACAAGCATATCACATAATCCACTAGAGAACCAAACATCACAGCATAAATGATATTAGTTACATACAAAACTAGAAAGAGAGAATCAGACTATCAAATGGTTACTCAGATCTGTGGAAGTTTACACTCATACCATAGTTCAATTATGTACAGTTGGGTAAAAACATAATAACTTCATCGAAACCTACAATAAAAAAATCTTAATGCTAACTTCAGTCCTACATGAATTTCGTGGCAACCAAACAGATCAGGAATTCTAATTCTACCATCACAAAATCAGTATACAGCAATAATCTCACTCCGAACTTAGTGAAATAGTAACTTCCAAGCTTTAATTTTTAAACCCCAATTAATAAATTTTTTCTCTTTCAAAACACATTTATATTGAAATTGAAGAAACCAAACAAGCCATAACTAGAAATCTTATCGATCCTGGGTCAAACCAACTATATCCAGCTTAAATCAAACCAGATCCAACCACAAAAACATACATCCATAAGCACCCAAATAAAAGAACAAAGAAATCGTAACCCTAGATCTCAGACAAACAGTCATCATAAACACAGTAGATCAACAAGAAAACATAAAAATTGAAATCAAATCAGAAGAACCCTAAGCTAATCCTCGCAAAGTAGCTTCGTACCTTTCTGGTCCACAAGGAAGAAGATCTAATCTAAGCTCGTAAAATGGAAGATGGGAATCCGGTTGGGGGCTTAAAAATGGTCGCGACGAGGAAGGGGAGAGAGGTAGGTCCAATGGGAACGAGACACGTGGTGGGTGGCGGAGATTCCGTGGAGTCTTTGTTTTGGAGGGACCACGCTGGCGTTGACGGTCAACGCAATCCCTAACCTTGCATTTCGTTGATTGTCGTCGTGTCGTTGATATTATTGCTGCTGCGTGCGTTGTGAGTTGTGCGAGTTGTGAAGTTGAATCTTGTGGGGACTGACGGACGGACTTGACGGTGTCCAAAAATCTTAATCTTTTTTAATGCGGGGCAACAGGATTCACGTTTACCGTGGTGTGCTGGTGCTGACGTTTTTCTCAGTTAAGTCAAATGTTCAATAATTGGCATTTGGTGAAGGGCACCTTCATGCTTAAATGCGAGTTTAATGCCTCGCTTGATTTGGTCAAATATGCATTTTTGACAAATATAAATGTTTTGCGTTATGGATACGGCCTCGAACTTTTGTGTTCTGACCAACTAATCTAATTCGTATCTTCTTTTCATACTTATTATATTTATAATTTTACACTTTTGTCACCGCATTGGTTCTTATTTCCTACTTTAGTATGTTATCATCAAGCAAATCCAAGACACAAGCTCATGAGCTCTAACTTAATATGAGGATGTTGTCAAATTAAGCCAACCAATTAATACGAGGATGCAGTCAAGCAAACAAATCAAAGGCAATCACAAGGGCTTCACCAAAAAAGGAAACCATGTTGGTATGGCCTTATATCAACCACAATTTGAAAAGGTTGGGGATCAATCATAGGTCAGTTAGACCAAGTCTAATCACACCACAAATTGTCTCCTTAGCTTAGTTGCTATCCAATTTATTTTTATTTAAAATAATACATATATACATAAATTGTACTTGAACTATACTCCAATTGATTGAACAATAAAAATAATTAAATCCCATAGTATTCATTCATTCAAAAAAAAAAAAAAAAAAATCATATTACTTTATTAGTTTAAGTTCCATTCAAAAGCCATAGTTTTAAAATAAATAAATCAATAATCTGCCATTACTTATTTTTTAATCCAAAAAAAGGATTGGGCCATATTCAGTGAGAACATGGGCTCGAAAAGCCCACATGGAGCCCAAAGCCCTAGCAGTTAGACCTTGACATTTAATATTGTCACCCGCCGGTGAGCAATCAACCCCTCTTGTTACTGTGAAACAATACTCGAGTCGATCCTCGGCAGCGAAGTCCATCGTCTTCAGTGGCTGAGACCCAAAGAGCTAGAGAGAATCAGAGAGAGAGAGAGAGTGCTGAATGGGATACATACAGGAAGCACGCGAGAATCACGTGAAAAAGAAGGTAGAAGAAGGTATATATGTATTCAAAGCTCAAACGCTAGGGCTCAAGAACTATCATTTTTCTTTTTTGTTTTTCATTTTGTGCTACAAAAGTTGTGTAATTTGGTTTGTAAATTAATGGTCCACAGCATTGCGGAGCAAAATGAAGCAGAAGGCGTTGCAGGAATGCAAGGATTTGGCGTCCAAGTATGCGGAATGCTCATATGGGAGAACCATTTCTGTGGTTTGGCAGTGTCGACAACAAGCTAAGGAATTAAACGAGTGCCTTCACCAATTGTAAGCCCCAATTCGTCTATTAATATCCCTCTGATCTTTCATTTTTCACAACAAAAATGGAAAAGATTATTAATTTATTTTAATTTTATTGTAGATTTTAAAACAGGGTCTTATAAATATCACATAGTTAAATGTTAGCAACAGTAGTGTTGTTTAAACTGGTCTGTATGAATGTTGATTTGCTCTTGCGGCCATTTTCGATCGAGAATAGCAGATTTGCAAAATTGATCAGATTTTATCGAGACTTCTTGTGATGCTTGCTAGTTTGGTATTAGTTTGGTATTAGCTCAAGAAATTATTTGGCTCTCTATCTGTTTTGTGTTGGTTTAGTCTTGACTTGCCTTTTGAAAATGGACCTAATGTATCATATTAGTCATAGTTTACATAAGTGGGAAGCAGTTGAGGTGGTAGAGTGGTATTTAGATCATGAGATACTGCAAAGATGGTGGCAGTGTTTGAGTTCATAAGGCGTTATCTGCCTTAGGGCTGAGTTGTGTGGTTTGGATAGATATGGCATTATCTGCCTCATTCATTTCCGATCATTTTTCTTTAAACTTTGTAATTACATTTAGTTTTTGGGTTGTTTGCATTTGGTTTTCCTAGTAACGTAGGGACCAGAAATACGGAAACTGCAGAATGTTTTGTGATATTAGAATGCTAGGCACTGTGTTCCATGGATTGTTTTTCAGTCCAATTTTCAACTGCTTAGCTTCGTAATATCGCAATGTTCACAAGCCATAGGAACAGTAGAGGCATCAAGGGCAACTTCTTATGCCATCTGTTTGAACCTACGTTTTAAATGTTAGATTTTGGCACTCAATTGTAGGTAGACAGGAAAATGTTCTAGTTGTAGGACAGAAAAGAAAAGTATCCCATCTGTTCTTGCATTTGCTTGAGAGAGCATGAAGAGAGAGCTGAAGGAATGGTCAATGCAGTGATGTGGGGCATGTTGTTTTGTTGCTTGTTATTGCATCAACCTCTTTCTTATAGTCTTTGAGTAAGAGGAACGAATTTGGAGTTGACTTTAGGAAAATATATACTTGTGCCAACACGTGTTGTTTCCTATAGGATTAATAATTGAATATGCAAGCATCCTCACATTGTTTTGATTTTTGCAGCACTAACGATGACGTCTTGGAGGAAATGAAGAGAGACTACATGCTTCAACAAGATGGGAAAGTGTCTGCAAAAGTCTGAGCTTGTGCCTCTCAACAGAAACCGAGCATTGTTGTAGAATTTTTTTGTTATCACGTATTCTGGCGACATTTTTTTTCTTCGAAGGGATATGCTAATCATCACTTGGTTCATTTTTTCAGAAATTCTTAAGTTGCATGATTTTGTTTTCCTCTGTGGTTCAGCCAATGAACAGGAGTGGTGTATGAAGTATTTTCGAATGAAACTTATGAATTTACTAAAGATTTCATACAGATCTATTTTCGTTGAGTAATTTTGCCGGCCAGTAGTGGCATTATGTGGTTATAATACACGTAAATACACACTAGCAAAATTGTTTCATCTATATATATAAAGCAAAAGGCAGAGAATGGTGAAACATTCAAAATGCCAAAAAATACCCTTGGTTAATTCAAACATAAATAATTGAAATTATTAATTAAATGAGAATAATATAGTAAATTCATATATTTTTTTCATATTAAAATAATTAAAATTAAAAACAAAATCAGATAATAGGATAACTACCCATGTTATCTTTTCTTAATTATAAAAATAAAAGAAAACCAATTGGCACATGCGTGAGCATGTGCTAAGAGGCTAGTGGCTAATTAATTGTTATGGACGCACATGTGCTAAGGGGCTAGTGGCTAATTAATTGTTATGGATGGGGTTCTCCAGTGGATGGCTAAATTATGAAAAGCCTTGAATGGTGAAGTACACACACGCGCGCGCACACACACACATATATTTATCTCTTGGCATTGGTAATATTAATATTGGAACCATTCATTATTTGTTGTATATTATTCTATAATTAATACAAAGAGCAATAACTCGAAAATTCTATTAATAGTTAAAATTTCATAGGACACAGGCCAACCAAAATCATATAATTCTTCTCCACCCTGGATTGAACCGATTCAACCTCAAAAAGGAGTGGAAAATAAGAACACCTCGAAACATTCAGCCAAACTAGATGTATATTACACAAATTCCTCATTCATAAGAAAATTCCACAGCAGATGCAAATACAGATTCCCTCTAACAATCCTCAACACAACTGCCCTCAGTCACATGAAGCTAGTTTCAACTTTCAATCAATTCACTGCACTGAATACAAAAAGAGAAGCTTCAGCTAGCCAAAAGCATCTGCTGAAGCTAAGTTGGCTTCCGCATGTTGCGCCCAGCACGAATTACTTCATCAACCAATAACAATTGAGATGCAATTACAGGTCTGCATTAGAATAAACGAACATCAGTGATATATATAAAACAGAAAAAGCTTACAAAAATAATCAAGGATTAATGAAAAATATAAAGAATTCTTCTTTACAATCATGCGCCTTACCCTGAGTTTATAATTTGTCGCTTCACAGAGTAGTTGTCAAAGATACCCTCCATTTGTGGGTCAATGGGTTCTCCAGTGTTGTGATTTAATCCCACGACATTTCCCCGATCATGCTCTCCCTGAACAAGCATCCACATATGTGATTATTTTTGATCATCTCAAGAAAGCTAACCAAATGAAAAAGTGAGGAACTTTCAAAGAAGTATACCGTAAGAGCAATTATCACATCTTGCGTGTCAAGGCCAGAGTTCTCAGCAAGTGTCTTGGGCACTACAAGGAGAGCATCAGCAAAAGCTTCAACACCAAGTTGAGCTCGCTGTTCCAAGTATGTCAACGTGTGAGAGATAAAGGCTGAGAAAAGATGAGGTGCTTAAAAGTATTTCCTATGAGAAAATTTAGGGAAATATTCAATTACCCCTTGAACAGTTTTCTTTACTTCATTTACTAAATGTTGTCTGGCTGCAACTTCAAAAGCTCCAGCACCCTGAGACACATATGAGAAACATACAAAAATCACAAGCTGATATGTATACCAGAAACCAAACTTATGCCCAAAGCATTACAACATGGAGAAGGCGGCACAATTCAAAACAAAAAGGAAAAAGATAAGAATATGATAAGAAGATTTCCTAGGAATTTCTAACTCAAACTTACTAAGATGACAGCTTCATCTTCAATTGTATTTTTGACTGCCCTCAGGCCATCACGAACAGCATCCTTAATCTGGGCGATTGTATGGTCATTAGGCCCTGCACCATTAAAAGTGGGCAAAAGGATTACATCCCCACAGGACTTGCCAAAGGCAATAGAACAATGTAAATCATGTAAGCATTACCATGAGATGGGTGCAAGATAAATTACAAAAGAAAAAAGGTAAAAATTATATATGGAAATAAGGTGAAACTACCAATGGAGTACCTTTGATTAAGATTGTGCAAGAATGAGGGTTCTTCACATTTTCAACAAATGTATACTTCTCTTCACCAAGGACATGCTCATATACAAGTCCAGCCCAACCAAGGCAATCAGGAGTTAAATCATCTACTGAGTTTACAGCCTCCCCTCCACAAGCCAAAACCAACCGTTCCATATTCCTCCTCTTTGCTCTTCTCAGGGCAATAATCTATGAAACCACAGGATTAGAAAAAATACCAAACAAGAAGAAAACAACAAAAAATCATAAAAATAGCTGTGAGGTATATCTGGCCCACCCAATTCATATTGAAATGTTTATAGTGTACACAACATGTCCAATGGTCTATCAAAAACATGAATGATGTTAAATCATAACTTCAATGCAATAATGTCAAGTCTCTCTCTCATAATCATAACCCCATAAATTTGGCAAAAACATTGGAGCGTAATGGACCTTCTTGCAACATGCTCCCACAAGTGGAGATTATTAAAGATAAAATATGTAGAACCATTAAGCTGCGAAGACCTTTTTCAATATTGTTTTCCTTTGTGTATTACTAGAATATAGTTTTGGATGGGTCTCCAAGCTCTTTCCCAAATAGATACTTTAGTACTTAAGCAATTCATGCGCATTTGACCAGGGGTAAATGGGAATAAAAAAAGATATTTTGAAAAATAATTGGAAAAAAATCTACAATAACAATCCATGACTTACCCCTGCCCTAGCGAGAAGGTCCAAAGATGGGGGATCAATTCCCTTCTGATTGATAACGACAAAATTATTATCATTACCAGAACAAACCTGCAAATCACCAAGTAAAGGAAATATTTCAGAATCCATAATGCAAGATATGCTAGGGTGCTACATCAATATCACACATACAGCATGAATAACAACACTCGACCTTATTTTTCAGCTCAATGATTTTTCTAACTCTTTCATCAACCTGACGCCTTTCAGCTAAAACCATGGCTTCTCTCTGTTCCGCATTTGAATAGAAAAAGCCTGAATTTACTTCACTGAGATGAAAACCATCAAATTCATGATGATCAGGAAATCATATCCATAAAAGCAGAGGAAGTCAGCTGTCCAGTAGACTGCTATCTCAATTTTAAATATTGTATTAATAAAAGGTGAATGCAAGCACACTTCAAACAAAAATACTCTTAACACAATGGTTCTTGCACACAGATCAATTGTTTGTGAAAGAAATGAAGATCTCCACTATTTTATGCACGTGGATAAAAAACAATTACACAAAGACATTCTAACATAACTATGTAAATGAGAGAGAGAGAGAGAGAGAGAGAGAGATATATTGAAGGCAAAACGTAACAATTATTTAAAGAAAACTTCTATATATTTACCTTTTCTCGTACTCCAAAGATACATTGCTTGTCAAGATGTAACAATTCTCTGCCCGTCGCTTCATATCAGGATGCCTAGAACCATGATCAAGGACAAGACCCTCAACCTACAAGAGGACATAAATGAACTGAGAAACCACAGGGTAACAGCAGATTTTTCTATTCTGTAAAAAAATATAAAATAAAACACTATTATGAAGCTTGCACCATGCTCAGTAATTAAAACCTAATCTAGATATAGGTAGCAATATCATGATTTACAATTCCAACATCAGAACTTGGAACTAAGAAACAAAAATGAATAGAAAGAATCATTATACTACCAGCAGTAACGCTCATAACATAACATGCAATCTCCTGAGGTCTTCACTACATCTACATTATTAAATACAACTTTACATAACCCTAAACAGCCAGCCTATCATATAAGATTGCAACTCTAACAAAAAATATATCTATAAGCTTAAACATTTGCAGAACCTTTGCAGAAGATTGAGAACCCATTATCAATAGGACTGCCTCTTAATATTCATCAAGAGATAAGGAGTATCTGAAAAGTAGAATAGAAAATATAAGATGTTAACATACCAAACGTGTGTCAACATCAAACTTGTGTCGCATGTGCATAACCTCCACCATGAACAGATCAATGGATTCTTCAGGTTTGCGGATGCAAAGAACCTGTCATTTGAAAAGCCGTAATTTGTCACACATCAAGATGCAAGAGGTGCACTATAAATTCTAGATTCCATAGAACGAGCAGAAAAATGGAAGGGGAAGTGAAATAGCAATCTTTCAAGCATTCTTAATAAGCCGCAAACACTCACCGAATTAACAACTATGTCAGTCAATTGATCCGCCAATGCTTCATATAACTGCATGATGGAACATGTCAGATTCAAATGACATATAATGTGTAAAACAATTCCACTTATCTGAGCAGTATGAAAACCTGGAGTAAACCGAACCATGCCTAAAACCATTTTAACAGAAATAAATCAAATAAACGAAACACAAATACCTTAGTTCGCAAAGTTGTCCTAGCTACCATTTTTAGAATCTCTTTGTCAGGCTCATTGCCCATCACCACAGGAGTTTTAAATTTCTCAATAAATTGAAGTGTTGCTCTTTTGGCAATCTCAAAACCATCAACTAGGACACGTGGATGCATCCCTGTAACAAGCATAAACTCACTATTGTCACGGGTACACACGAAAAAGGAAGAAACGAAATAAATAGATTGACTAGAGGGATTTTGCACAACCACAAGGTGCAAGGATCTAAAGACTTTTATCCTTCCATGAAGAATCAGAGAAATTGTCCCATCAATGGTTACTGATAATTGTGAACCAACCTTCATCAATGTATCGCTCTGATTGTTTCATAAGCTCGCCAATGAATAAGACAGTAGATGTGGTGCCATCTCCGCTTATGTCATCTTGGGCAACAGCTGTTCTTGCAATCATAATTGCTGTTGGGTTTTGAATTTGCTGCAACCAATTGATAGAACACCATCAAACAAAGCAAAATAGGGAAATACAAAACATATGCAGAAACATGCTGGATAAATACATTTAATTTAACATACAAATCCATACAAACATTTGGAGAAAACCTTAAACCACAGTTCAATGCACCTTTTGGGTCCTTATAAAAGCAAATCCAGTAACATACGGTTTACTTCAAAAGTTTTAGACCAGTAAACAGATCCTCAGCTAGTGAAAACTGCTTCATTTCGTATTTTGACCCAATGAAGAAATGCTTAAACCCTAATTTCACACACTCTACACAACTAATGGATAAAACAGACCTTGTGCAAAAGCAACTGTACCAAACGGAGATCTAGGGTTTGGAATAAAGAACTGTACCATTTCTTTAAGCAAAGTGTTGCCATCTTTAGTGAGCTTGATGTCACCGGCTCCGCCAACAAGCCTGCAAACATTATATAGCAAAACGTAAGAAGAAAATAGATAGAAAAATGAGAAAACATACAGAAAAAGTTGAACTTCCGTACATTTTGATGGTGCCCTTAGGGCCAAGGTTGGTTTTGAGGACGTCCTGCAAGCCCTTGGCTGCGTTGATGTTCATGTGCAGAGCCGCCGATTTGTTCAGCACCTCCGCATTTGGATTCAACACTCGTAGAGACATCTTCTTCTTCTTCTACTGCTCGACTGAAAATCAAAGTGGCTGAGAGAGTGTGAGTGTGAGGTTTTGAAACTTCGAGTTCGCGGAGAAGTAGAAGCTTTATGAATCTCAGGGTGGGTTTTAGGGCTTTCAGGAGCTTCGGTTATTTGAGTTTTCTTTATTCTTTTTATTCTGAGCCACGACGTCGTATTGGATCTACTGAACGGGCCAAATGGGTCACGCCCATGGGTCGACCCATGATACCAACTAATTAGGTTTAGGGTTCAGCCGCGATTATACAGCATAAAATGATTTTCTTACGTGATATTTTAGCATTTTTAATTACTGTAAGGAGTAATTATTTTTTTAATTATCTTTTATTTAGCGAATAATTATAATATATTTAAAGATTATAGCCGTGCGGATATCTTTTTAAAATTAAAATAAAAAATTAGAGGGTATAGCCGATCGGCTATACTATTTTTTTAAAAAAATAGTAACAACGAGTATAGCCGGTCGGCTATACCCTATAACCGTCTGGTTATAATCTTTAAATAGAAAGTTTCGAACGTATCTATCCTCTAAAATAGAAAGTTTCACAGGTATCGGCTATACCTGTAAATAGCATAATATGGCCTTCTCTTTTTTAATTACTTTAATTAGTACTTCTGTTTTAATTATTATTTAGTTAGTGAATAATTATTATTTAAATATTTTATTAAAGAAAAAAAAAGTACTTGTGAAGTTAATTAAAATATTAAATACAAATTTTTCACTAAAGAAACAATAATAAAAACATAATTACAAATGAAAGTAACATAAAAATGAAAAGAAAAAAAACATACCATGTCAACGGTACAGCCGTGCGGCTATACTCTAAAATAGAAAGTTTCAACGGTCTAGCCGCCGGCTATACACTATAAGAAGAATATTTCTACAGCATAGCCGACCGGCGATACTCTACACGCTAAAACAGAAAGTTCCAAATGTATGGCCGCGCGGCTATACTATAAGCAGAATATTTAATTTACTATTTAATATTTTATAAACTACGTACCATGTGAAACGTATAGCCGGCCGGCTATACTCTACAAGTAGAAGGGTATACCCTACGGAAGTGTAGCCTATATTTGAAGAGTATAGCCGGCCGGCTATACTATTTAAATTCGAAGTTTCAAAAGTATTAAACTAAATAAACTAATTAATCATTTTTTTTGTGGCACATAAATCATCAAAAACATATAGAATCAGTTAGTAGCTGTAAAAGGCTCATGAATTTGTTTGGAAGGATTAAGGTTCAGCATATATAGAGAGAGAGAGGAACGCTGTAGCTGATTGTTTGGCTACTTGGGGTCACAACTTGGATCTGGGCTTCTGCTTGAGGAGAGTCCTGGCTGGCTTGGGCTCTGTTGCTTGATGTTTCGTTGGGGTTTGGTGGTGTCTGGGGTTTTTACCCCTTTCTTCATAAAAGAAAAACATATGGAATCTCTTAGCGCTTGGTGAAGGGCCTTAATCTTGATCAGTTCGTGCTCTTCGTCATGGAACAGTGAGGAAGCATCATAAGGGATATGAGGAGGTCATTCCCCCAACACCAACAGCACAAATGAAAACCTGGGGAAAAGCTGGTACCCATTTGTAGTTCCATCATTCTACTTCATGTTTATCATTTTAGTTTTATTTACTGGTTCTCAATATTCTTACTTAGATTTGATAATTGGAGATGACTTAATAGGAAATGCACACAAGTGGACCTCAAGTGGGGGAATCTCCTATATTTTTTAGATACTAGCTGCTCTCATAACTCTGAAATACTAGACATGTTTTTTTTTCTTTCCATGATCAATAGGAATTGCTAAGTTTATCATTGCCATCATTAACATTATCAGTGTATAAACTAGCCATAATAATTTGCGTGTTTTCTGGTGGTTAAACAAATAGGATTGTCCTTGCTTGCTATTTCTTTTATCACCTACTGACCTCTATTTCTGTAATTGCAATTTCTGTTTACTGTCCTATGCTGTGAGATTGGGATAACGGAGTTAGATGAATTTGCTCAAGCTGCTTTTTGTGGATATAATTCTCTGAACTGTATTCAGAGCCGCATATTTCATACTATTTATAACACTAAAGAAAATATACTAGTAAGTTATTGATTATGTTGATTATGTGAATACCAAACCATTGCGCAGTGAAAGTGCTGATATGATATGCTTGAATGTGATTTCCATTTACTTGCAGGTTTGTGCTCCAACAGGAGCTTGCAAAACAAACATAGCTATGATTTCTATTCTACATGAGGTATGCAAATGATTGGCTATTCTTGGGTTTCTATTCTCATTTTTGGTAATCATACTTTTTCTCTTACTACTTTAGCTTGATCTCAAATTCACACATTTGTTTTTGTATTGTGTATGAGTTAATCTGGGTTAATTGCATAGTTAAAATGGCATGGGAATGGCTGTAATGTCATATGTGCTGGTATTGTATATATTTTTCTGGGAGGGTTAGTGTGTTAAAGATATCAGCTTGCAAAATAAAGCAAGGAAACTAAGCTTTTGGCTGCCTTAGTTGTTCGACTCCTTTTATGTCATGGTGATGTACTTATAGTACTTTTCATGTTGAATTCAACCTATTTAGTTTTTCAAAATATTCAGTATGGTAGTATATCATCTATTCTGAGATTTAGATACTGAGTCAGCATTGTCTGATGCAGATTGCACAGCACTTCAAAGACGGTTACTTGCATAAAGATGAATTTAAGATAGTTTATGTTGCACCAATGAAGGTATCCACCCTATACAACTCTCTTCCTTTTGTTTTTTGTTTTTTCTGAGTGGGTGGGGTGGGAAAGTAGCCATTGAAATGGTGGCTTGTTACTTATTATCATGTATTTTTCAGGCATTAGCTGCAGAAGTTACATCAACTTTTAGCCATCGCTTATCTCCATTGAATATGACTCTGAGAGAACTTACTGGAGACATGCAACGTTCTAAGAATGAACTTGAAGAAACTCAGGTCACTTTTATCAAATTCTGTGTGCTCCGTGTGCTTTTAACTGTTACCCAAAAGAGGAAAATGAAAACCTTAATGGCTTCACTTTCTTCTTATTCAGATGATAGTTGCAACACCTAAGAAATGGGATGTCATTACTCACAAGAGCAGTGACATGTCACTTTCAATGTTGGTGAAGATCCTAATTATTGATTAAGTGCATCTATTAAATGATGATGGAGGCCCTTGTAATTGAGGCACTAGTTGCTTGATCTTTGCACCAGGTAAACTTTTACTGAATTATTAGTGATCTTGGCTTCTTTCTGCTGAATAACTAACCCACTATTTAAATTAGTTGAGAACATTTGTACAGTTGCAACTTATGCTCATGAAAGTTGGAAAGGTATTATCTGTTTCTTATTAGGGTTAATGTGATAGCGGGATGTTTATATTTAAAAATGTTTATCAGATGTCTGTTACAATTTACATGTTACTTATGTAGTTTATGATTGGTTGCAAAGAATTTAGTTGCTTATGACCTTTTGTTTACTTCTTTTTTTTTTCTTTTTTTTTATATGTGTGTGGCAGGTGGAGTCTACACTGACAATGATATGCATTGTAGGCCTTTCAGCCAATCTACCGAACTATTTAGAGGTATTTTGGTCACCTGATGATATCTTTTCTGTATTTATTGGCCTTTAAATGCCGTACTCTGAAGTCTATTTTGTTTATTTGTTAATGTGGATTATTCTTTTATAACCACCCAGGTTGCTACAGTTTCTGAGAGTGAATCCAGCTTTAATTCTAGTTATCGCCCTGTGCGCCTCTCACAGCAATATATTGGTATTAGAAAGCAGAATTTTACAGCCCATATTGAATTGCAGAATGAGATATGCTACAAGAAGGTTTCTTTTTCCTTGGGCTCTCCTTTGTGTAACGTATGTATTAGAATGATTATTTAACTGATTGATACTTTTTTTCTGCCAGTTTGTTGAATCACTCAGGAAAGGTTATCAGGCAATGGTATTCGTTCCTTGAAAGACAATTTAAAGGATATGTTAAGATTACTTTTCCTTCTTGTTCTTGAAATTTTCTCTATGCAGAGGTGGCACTTGGTACTGTCACCAATGTCAAGGAAGCTTGTGAATGGCTTGGATATACGTACCTTTTCATAAGAATGAGGCTGAATCCTTTGATGTATGGTATTGGGTGGGATGAGGTATTCTATGTTGATTTGACTTTACCTATATGGTTATTGGTTGATCCTTCTTGAACATTTTCTTGACTAGCAGCCTGGCTTTATTCTAAGGAGGACATGATGTATAATTCATTTGTCTTTAATGGTGCTTATGTATATGATATTTGCTTTTGCTTGTTTCAGGTTATTGATATTTTCTTCTGCATTTTGCAGGTTGTTGCTGATCCTTCCTTGAGTTTAAAGCAAAGAGCTCTCATAGCAGATGCTGCACGTGCCATGGACAAAGCAAAAATGATGCGCTTTGATGAGAAAAGTGGCAACTTTTTGTACAGAGCTTGGTCGAATTGCAAGCCACTTCTATATTCAATACTCAAGTGTTGAAACATAGAATGAAATGTTGAGGCGCCACATGAATGAGACTGAGGTTATTGTTTTTGTGAACTATTTTATCTTAATTTTTTAATTTATTTTCCTGCCAGTTACACCCCATTCATTTCTTCTATATCAAACTCATTCTCAGAAAAGAATCCTACGCATAACCTCGAAATATGTCTCTGTATTTCTTGTAATATAGAGTTTCTTTTTAATAATTATCATTTGATTTGATTTCACCGATGCTGCTTTTGCTGTTCCTTCAGGTAATAGACATGGTAGCCCACTCTTCAGAAATTGAAAATATTGTTGTTCGAGATGAGGAACAGAATGAGCTAGAGACGTTGGTGCGATCATCGTGCCCATTAGAAGTTAAGGTTCTAAAAAACATGGAAAGATATCCATTCTCATTCAGGTTGATTTATGCTCAACTGGTACGAAATGCTAGTGAAGAAGTTAGAAAAACGGAAATATTTGTTGACTGATTTATGGCTTATGTGGTTTGCAGTTGTACAGATCTCGTGGCTCAATTGATACCTTTTTGTTGGTTTCTGATGCAGCCTACATAAGTGCAAGCTTGGCACTCATTATGCTTTCACATTTTATCAAATTTATAGACTGAATTAATTGTGAGTTTTCATACCATACAACTCTGCTGTGATTTGTTTCTGATTGTCATCAAATACTATGCTCTGTAGTTACGTATAAAATTTTGATTTTGCACTTGAGGTTCCTTATTGTGCGGGTGAAACATTTGGTGTATGATCTTTGTGTTCCATTACATGTTTTGAATGCTGCTGTATACACTGAAGTGTACTGTTTCTGAATTGTTGACTTGACTGTAGGTCATTTACATAGCTCCTTTGAAGGCAATTGTTAGGCCACCGCTGGTCCCATCACATTGATCAATGGGCGTCGCAGCCCCCTCCTTCGCTGGTCCTTATTCTGTCTCGGGATGCCCTCTTCTCTTCTTCCCCACACCCCCAAAAAAGTTATCTTGCATCGGATCTATCTGGTGGCCTCATTATCAGCTTTTAGTGGCGGTTGTTACCGCTGCAAAAGCTAAATTCTGCCAAGAAAAACTGTTAAATATCGTCGCGAAAGGTGTAAAAACCGTCAGAAAATAATAAAAACCGTCATTTAAGACATGACTTGGCTGAATTTTTCCGATTCCAAAGTGTTTCTCATCTGTTTTCCGGTAGAAATTTATGTGCCTTCCATTAAAATTCCTTTAAAAAATTTAGTAAACCATGGTAGAAGATTGTGTTTACCATTTTCCAATATAATGTACAATCAATATATGAAGAAGAGCTATTCCATATCAATAAATAACTCCGTAAGTCGATATTTTCTAAAACAATTAACATGTACTTTTCTTATGAGTTGATAATCCGTACTTTATATAAAGTCAATGGTACGATAAAATATCGATTAGCACGATTCCATAGGTGTTCTTTGTCCTATACTGTACACATCACATCAACATTTTATGCTAAAATGAAGGCACTAGCCCAATTTTTATTCCCATCCCTATGCATCCATTGCTTTGCTTTCTAGTTAGAGAGAAACGCATTCGTATATTAACTTAAAGCACCGATGGTGAGACAGTTGGGGTTGATTTTTGGTACTCATGATGCATCATAGCCAAATGTGGCATTGACAGTCATGAGATGAGAATTATCATGTTGAAAGCATTTGGTCTAATGAGAGCCCATGACATAGAATTTATCAGTATCCAGCCCCTTGTACCCTCATGCATGGTGGAGTAGTCAAAAAGGAGGAGAAAAATAGAGAATAATTCAAAGATAAAGATGGCTTTGGCTGTATTGTGGGCAACCCCATTTGCAAATCCATGGGGATTGAAAGACTTTCTTTCTGTTTGGGATTCGAGGATGAAAGAATCAAAAACTTTTACCTCCATAATGCATGTGACTTATGAACAGTGAGGAGAATACGACTAGTCTTCTGATATATATGCATATAGGATTGGATTTGCTGAGGTATCTTGATATATGGCTCAGTTCAGTGGATTGGAAGATATTCAGGTTTCAGTAAATCTATCAAGGTTGAATTTGGTGGTACATAATCTTTTGAAGATATTTAAGACACCTTTCATGATCTAGTTTAGTTTTATCTACTCTGCAGTGAACCAGTCCTAAATAATCTGCAGCAGATATCATCATTGGATAGCATCATGCATGAGATATGCTTTATGTGAAAGTCTAATAATACTAATGAAACCTTTGTTGAAGAATAATGACGTGCCAAAAGATGGACGGAAGGCAAATATTCCAAAGGCAAGTACAACACAAAGAACAAAATCTAATTTCGAGAATCTACTTCCATTTTTGTTCTCTTTACTCCTTTTTTATTTTTTCCTTTTTTGGGACAAATTGTGCAGGACAGGTACAAATGTACGTGTTCTAGTTCTGTGGCTGCAGAAAACAACAGATAGTCCAAAATTTCATATATAAACCATAATCCTTATTAGGGGAGAAACAAGAACTTCATCAGCTCCGTAATCAGTGATTAATTGCATGAAATCTCATCAGTCTTAGGATTGTTAATTATTCAGTCTCAGATGTTTTTGTTTTTTCTGCTAATCCCAGTAGAGAATTTGAATATAAAGAGTCAAAAAGCAACTGAGAAGATAATAAAATATCTGAAGAATAAAGTTGACTGTCCATTTGCAAGTCCTTAGAGTTTTAAGAATATTCATTAATCCAGAATCAAAAAGCACTGTCGGCAGGCAACTCTCCACTAGCAAACCACCAGAGATTTTCAGAAGAGGGTTAGTCATAATGCTTTGCATAACCTTACACATCACTTGCTGCATTAGACTTAAATTTGTTGTTTCTGCTGATCATGTCTGTGAGATGAATATTGCTTCGATTTATAGATAATGTTTCAAGAAAAGAAAATTTACTGAGGAAAACGATAATGCTTCAATCAAATCAACAAGAAGAAAATGCCAACAGAATATTTGGAAAGGACAAACTAGGAGGGGATGAGCAGCCCTCGTGATAAGTTCTATGTGTTGACTTCAATTTCGTTATCTTCTCACTGCTTGAACTAAATTATTGATTGTGAGGGGTGACCAGGATATGCTGAGTTCAGATGCCACTTGTCAGATAAAAAGAAAGGGAAGCTTTCTTCCACAATGAACTAGAGCCTCTCTCTTTGGCCATAATGTTCTCATTTTCTATATAAAGAGCTTGCAAGGCAAATCACAATCACATCCACACCACAGAGGCCACAAGCCCACAGAACTATATTCTACTATTCCATACATTGCATGAAATTTAGAAGAATGTCAACCATTTCTCTTGATCCAAGGCTTAACCTCCAAGCCATTAAGAACCCTCCTAACCAACATGGAGTTGTTCTTGAAGAAATTGAAGGTTTCCTCAGAGTTCACAAAGACGGAAACATCGAAAGGCCTCCAATTATCCCCACTGTCCCAAGCACTCTGGCACTACCACATGGTGTCACAGCCAAAGACGTTGTCATTGACAAATTTACCAACTTATGGGCACGTATTTACGTTCCAAGCCACCCCGGAAACCTCCCCGTGCTTGTCTACTTTCACGGTGGTGGATTCTGTGTTGGCTCTGCTGCTTGGAGCTGTTACCATGACTTCTTGGCCAACCTTGCTTGCAAAGCAAGTTGTGTCATCATCTCTGTGAATTACCGTTTAGCCCCAGAAAACCGTCTCCCTGCTGCTTATGACGACGGATTCAAAACTCTTATGTGGGTGAAACAACAAGCTCTGAGTGAGCCTAGTGAGCAAAGATGGTGGTTAAGTAGGTGCAGCTTGTCAAGCTTGTTCATAGTTGGTGACAGTGCAGGGGCTAACATAGCCTACAATGTCACCACACAATTAGTCTCCCGTGACCCCTCCAGTTTAAGACCTTTGAGTTTCAAGGGCACCATCTTGATCCAACCTTTCTTTGGAGGAGAAGCTCGTACTTGGTCCGAGAAATATGCAACTCAGCCACCAACCTCTGCACTAACTCTGTCGAATTCCGACGTGTATTGGCGATTGGCTCTGCCGTTAGGGGCCAACAAAGACCATCCATGGTGCAACCCTCTGGCAAACGGCGTGACCAAGCTGCGCGATTTAAGACTCCCGGCCATAATGGTGTGCATATCAGAACTGGATATATTGAAGGATAGGAATTTGGAGGTCTGCAATGCCTTGAGTAGCTTGGGGAAAAGGGTGGAGACAACAATGTACAAAGGAGTTGGACATGCCTTCCAAGTTGTGCAGAACTCTCAGCTCTCCTATTCCCGGACCCAAGATTTAATCTCTCACATCAAGGCCTTCATAAACCAATAGCTAGTGTATTTGTGTTTTTTATTTTTCCTTTTACTTTGATATTTTAGGGTATTTTGTATGTATATAGTTATGCTAAAACTTAATATTTTGATACCTGTTAAATGCTAATGAATCAAAAAGTCTGTTATTACTTTGTTATGCATTATTATGTGTTTCTTTTCATGAACTTTAACCAGATGTGTATCATATTATCATGATAAACTATCTATGTTTATATTATTCCCGATAAAAATAATAGAAATTCAGCATGTTTGGTATTCTATCCAACTTTTTAAACTTAAAAACAGAATTTGAGTACAAAACTCAAAAAATCTGTTTTAATCGAAGTTTAAAAAAATGAATTTTAGAACTTCTTGTTTTTTAAGAAAAATCAAAGCTTTTGAATTCCCTACTTAAATAGGATACCAAATATGACCTCTATTACTTTAATGCTGCGTTTGGACGAAGGAATTCTAATCTTCATAGAATTTGTAAATGACGGAATTTATAATTACAACATTTGAAATTACGTCAATTCCAAATTTCAGTGTTTAGATATCTTGTATATAGAATTTAGGAAATGACGGAAATTACAATTTCCCATGTTTGGATAATCATAGAATGAATTTTAAAACTGAAATTCGCAGAGAATAAAACCGTCTCTGTCTCCCCTTCGAAAGTCAATACAACATAAGAACGAGTAAAACAAGATAAAGAATCCCCTTCATTCTTTGAACTTGGCAGCTTCTATGAGTTGAAGAAAAAGACGCCTGCATATGACTCTTCAGCCAAAGTTGGATTAACTTAAAGCATGCAATTGTAAAGCTGGTAACATTCAAATCCCTTAAAAAAAACATTCATAATCGACTACTGTTATTACTCAAAATTGTAATCAAGATAAAATCATCTTCTTCTTTTTTTGTTGTCAAAGATAAAATCATCTATATTACTCAAAAAACAAGCGTAACAGTAAATCAAAACAAAAGAATCCAATCATTCCAACTACTACTTAAGGTACTTGTAATAAATAAAAATTGACAAGGATAGAATAGAAGTCTCCTATTCTAGGTAGGAAAATAGATCGTCAAACCTAAGCCAAACTCTTCAATTCCACAACACAAGACCCATCAGACGACACATTCTCTCTCCTTCTCTTGTTTTGTTTCTGATCGCGGATGCTTTAGGAAGGAAGGAGGCTTGCTAGCTAGGACTATGGAGGAGGCATCGATGCCGCCGAGGAGCAAGAAGAGAATGATGAAGCAATTGCAATGCAGCGAGAGAACAACGCAGTTGATGGAGCTCCCATTGGATATCCTCCTAGACATCCTTTCGAGGCTGCCCACAAGATCACTGTTTTCTTTGCTTTGTGTCTCTAAGACCTTGCGCAGCTTAGTCGACTGCCCATCTTTTGCTCACGAGCATTCACAATATATTGCTACCACCAATTATGAAGATTTGGACCCGTCTCACGTTATGGTTCTTACCAACTCCCAATTAATCACCTTGCGAGCCCTAAATCCATTGTCGCCCTTTAGCGAATTTTCCTTTGACATTTCCAACTCCCTTAGAAACGGATTCAATCTAAAGCTTGTTTTGCACGGCTTGCTTTTGTTCAACAAGAAAGAGTCAACAACAAATGATCAAGCCCTACTCCTCCTAGTCAATCCTCTCATGGGAGAAGTTCTAAACCTCCCACCACCACCAACCACCATTTTCTATGATGTCCTGCCGCCACGCTGGAACTATGAGTTGTATGGTATGGGATACGATGCCATGACTAGCACCCACAAGATTGTTCGTCTTTCTAGACCCGGCCCAAAACACGACCTGGTGGCCCAAATGTATGAGCTGGGCACAGGCTCCTCATCGTCATGGAGACAAATATCCTCAGTTCCTCCACCTTCTTGTCGTCTAAGCAGCAAAAACTGTGTGTCTGCATATGGAAACATGCATTGGCTAGTTAATGGTTTCTCTTCTGATCTTGAATTCAGAATACTTTCTTTCGACTTCAAAAGGGAAGAGTTCGAATGGACTCCTCATACCAACTTGCCAGACTTCGGCAAGCGTTCTGTTCTTCACCTGATTAATTTCAGAGGACGTCTTGCCATTGTTGATGTTACGGCAATTTCATCACCTAAAAACAGTCATCACCATGACCAAATTGAGATATGGGTGATGAAAAGTTACAAAAACTTCACGTGGGAAAAAAAGTACGCAGTACAAATCGATCTTGATCCTTATTGCATGAAATCATGGGAGACTCCTTTTCGTTTCCATGGTGTTGGGCCTGGTTCTGTAGGTGCTTGGGAACATGGCATCTTTCTCAGAGATATTACTTCGACAAAATCTAAAAATATGGTGGTTTTTTTGGATGTGGATAGTGGCGTTATCAGAGCCGTACAAGTTGGATCATCTTCAATGAGCGATTGTGATGATCTTATGCCCGTCAATGTGTTCAGTTATACCGGAGGCTATATTTCTCTAAGAAAATATGGTGATTTGATGGAAGCAGAGACAGGGGAGAGAAATTTCTTCTCTGTGGGGAAGATGATGCAGAGGTCAATGTTGACAAGGTATTGTTTTGAAGTAGGTGTGTAGGAGGAGGGCTGAGAAGTAATACAAAGGTTTAACTGAGACTAAACTTCTATTGATTATTGATTATGACATGTACTTAATGAATATCATTTTATTATATCTTGCTATATGCTTATTTTGTTGAACAACACCAAACTGTTTTGGTTACTAATTTGAGAAGCCTGAACTGAGTTTTGCTCTTCAATGGTTGATGATTTGTTCAACTGCACATACCACTACTTATTGAAGAGGTTAATTATTGATGATCAGATTGTGCAAGCCGATCAATCCTAATTAGAACTTAATTAGAACTTGCATTCAATTTAAGATATGAATGCTAGTCGAAGCGCTAAAAGAAAAGGATAAAAAACGTGGTCCAATGTCATATGTTCGATTCCTCCTTCCCAATATCGCTACTTTAAAAAAGACAACCACCATAACTAACTTTGAATAAAAAAAGAAACCAATTACTTGCTGTTACTTCAGAACCAAAAAAAAAAATTCCAAGTAATAAATTGGAATTTTAAGTCTATGGCAAAGCTCAAGGTAAAACCAATTACTTGATGTTACTTACTTTTTGGTGTTCAAATTAAAAGACTGAATCACTGCTCTAGTCAACTGGTCTAACTCATGTATGCAGATAACGTCTAATTGTTATAAAAAAATTGATAAGTATTTTAAAAGTCTATTAAACCTGTTGATTTTAAAAAGGAGTATACAGTTGTCATTTGTTAAAAACCAAAATTAAATATTAATGGGTGTCCAGAGAAAGCCCTTGGGTGTGAATGGAGTCCCTGAAATTAGAACTTTCCAACGTGGGCTGGAGCTCATGGCTTTAATGATAATGGAGGCCTTTAGGCCCAACCGATATTAAGCACAGACGACACAATCAGATTTTCTCTCACCCTGCAGAGACGACACAATCAGATTTTCTCCTACTCTGCAGAGACGACACAATTTTTTATTGGGGAGATGATGCAGAGGTAACTGGCGGATCTAAATTTTTTTTAACGGATGTGCAATATTGACTAAGTATGAAAAATTGTTTTTCGGAATAATCATTTTCTCAAGATAATTTTTTTCGGCTTTTATTTCTTACATATCAAATAAGAAAACTTGATTTTATGAGATTTTAGTATGAAGTATATATTGACTTAATGAGTCATTATTTTTAGCCTAAATCGTGTTTTGCATTAAAACCGATTTTTCATATTTTGATTTGGTGGGAATTTGATTTTTTAGTATTTTTATTTGAATCCAAATGGGGGGTATTTCCTTATTTACATTGTAAACTTAAGTAAATGGAGTAGTATAAAAATAAATGAAAGTAATATATTACTCTATTTACTTAAATGTTGAAAATGGAAATAAGGTAATATGTACACTAGTTGAGCAAATGGGCAATTTGAAGCACATACAATGATTTTTCTAGCGAGATAGGTCCACCTATGGCAGAGGTCAATGTTGCCAAACTGTTTTGGTTACTAATTTTCATATCTTCACTGAATTGCAGGTCTCAAGACGCAGACTTCACTAGACACTGCAGATTTGAGAAGCATGAATTGAATTTTTCTCTTCAAACGTTGATGATTTGTTGAAACTGCACATGGCACTACTTATTGAACAGGTTAATTATTGATGGTTAGCTTAGTTAAAAGACAAGATTGATGGTCAGATTATGAATGCAAGCTACCCTTAGAACTTAATTAGAACCCAGGTCACTACTTCACTTGCATTTGATTTAAGATATGAATTCAAGTAGAAGCGCTAAAATAAAAGGATCGAAAAATGTGATATAATGTCAATAATTCGATTCCCCCTTCCCAATGTCATTTTAACTAACTTTGAATAAAGAAAGAAAAGTTGACAATGAAATGTGATAATGTTACTAAAAATATGATGCAAATATGATTCAGATTATTCAAATGATATATACATAGTAAGAGCGTTTTGTTTGGTTGATGGGAGAAATCACCTTAAGACATATTTTCCATTTTAACCTGAAAACTCTGTACATGAAGTGAATTTGACGAACAATTGAATGTCTGATTGAGTTATGACATGATTGATTTGACGTCTAAAAATATGGCCCACATTTTTGGGCTTTTTCCTTTCCTCTCTCTCGTAAGGAAAATTCGCCTTACAATAGTGCCAGGGCACGTGGTTTTGCAAGTCACCTCTCTTTCTAGTAAATACACCTTGCAAAACACTTCTTAGTCACCAGTTCCGGGAGCCAAGTTCACATACAATAGTGACAGGCCAAGTTCACCAACAAGTTTCGTTCACTTTCAATAGTGCCATGCCACATGTCGTTATGCAATTGGCTATTGATACACCGCATTTTGACTATTTGATCACCCATGTTGAAAATACCCACTCCAAACCGGTCAATGCAAACATTGCCTGTCCAATAATTCAAAAAGGCCAGACGCAGAGCGCGTATAAGTATCATTCGAAACACTCGCTCCAAAAGCTCTTCCTCATCAAGCACTACTTTCTCTGAATTTTACTGTTCCGATACGTAGAAGGTGATTCCATTAGATATACAACCGTCAGACGTTTACAAGAGTAAGTAAGCGCACTTCTTTTACAAGACCCAGAAAGAGATCCAGTAACTTTACAAGTGTTTGATTATATATATATATATATATATATGTTGGGTTCAGATTTCGATTTCGACTCAATTTGGCTCCGGGTTAATTATTTTATTAGTTCCTGAATTTAGACTCAATTTGCATTTGAGTCTCTCAATTTCAAAAATCGTTTTCGTGGTCTTTCAACTTCAATTTCGTTAGGACAAATGGTCATACCGTCTATGTAAATTTTGCAAAATTCTATATCTTTGGATTAATTAATTTCTAGCTATGATCTGTTATTTATTATGATAAATACTACTCATCATATTTTTTTTCTTACTAGTTAAAGATTACATATATAATATAAATAATCCTTTATTGCAAAGCCAATAACATTTTCTCATTAATTGTAACAGCACAAGCACAGAACCTTATATAAAGGCATTGCATAAATATATAGTTTCTCTCATCACCATGCTAGGCGTGTTCTTCCAACTGAAGCAGACAGCTGGAACGACATCTCTATTTGAAACAGACTACCTGACTCTTGTGATCCTTATTGTTGCTTTAATCATTTACGGTGGCACGTTGATTGGTTCTACATACATACTCTACACTCACCTTAGTCTGGATTTGGCAAAATTCATGAGTAACATTAGTCTTCTTTTTGGAGCTCTTGTCTTGGTTTTGGAACTGGTGATCCTTGTCCCGAATTTAGGATTAGGCGCCCTCTTATTTTGGGTCGTTTGGTTTGTGAGCTTTGTAGTTGTTTACTCGTCCCCATATGTCAAAACATTGTTTACAAGTGCGGTTGGAGGAGTTGTTCAGGCGTTTGAAAAATTGAAAGAATATCTGAACATGATCATTGCCTGATTCACAATGAAACCCACGAAGCAAAATGGGTTGCCATAAGTAAGTTAGTTATACATATACCAAGCTGCTAGTCAGATCAGTTTACTTCAAATCTTTGTCTTGTGGGAGTTTTACTGTCTGATGGCCTCCCTTGTCCTCCAAGGAGGTTTTCATAAATTATTGTTGCTTTAGATTTGCTCTTTCGTGACTTAGGCTGTTTGTCTCGGCTCTCTGTCTGGAGCTTAGTTTAGCTTCTATATTGTTTGCTGTATTTTGTTGGCGTTGCTTTAGCGTTTTGTTAATGAAGAACTTATTCAGACAAAAAAAGAAATGTTTTTTGCCCAAATTTTGCTCAAAATGGGCCTTGTTAAGTCATACATGTTTAATTTTCATTATGTGTGCAATTGAGTGGCACCCTCCACATCTTTAAACTGCACTCTAATTTATCTATATATATAAAGCAAAAGGCAGAGAATGGAGAAACATTCAAAATGCCAAAAAATACCCTTGGTTAATTTAAACATTAAGAATTAAAATTATTAATTAAATGAGGATAATATGGTAAATTCACATCTTTCATATTAAAAAAAATTAAAATTGAAAACAAAATAAAATAATAGGTCATACTTTTATGGAATATACCTACCATGTTATCTTTTCTTAATTATATGTAAATAAAAATAAAACTAAAAAAATAAAACCAATTGGCACATGCGTGAGCATGTGCCAAGGGGCTAGTATGATATAATACAAAACCTTATTAATTTTGAGTAAACAACATCACAACGCCTGTCTACACATTATACATGAATAACTTAAAATTAGTTTTATTATATCATTTTTGAAGGCAAGAGCCTTACTCTCTTCCTTCCCAAAGCTCAAGAAAGAATTTATCTCTCAAGAAGAAGTAGGATGCTAGGAGTGCTCTCAAGGAGGTTAGGAGATGCTCTCTAATGTTTCTCACCCAAAGCTCTTGGATTCGTTGGCCGACTTTAATACCCACATGCTCTCAACCAAAGTAAGAAATCCAATGGTGCACAACCAATACAAAAGGAGACTCTTCAAATGACGGGTGGGAAAATCATGAAAATTGGGGATCCAGATTCCCAAGTTTAATTTCCACCAAAAGATGCGTCATTTTGCAATTTTTATTGAGCATGAATTCGTTTTCACTGTAATTCCTATCGTTTACAAAAAGATTGCACCAGTGTGCAGTTGAGTGACTATGGCACCCCCCACATTTTTAAACTGTAACTTCTAATTTATATGATATAATATGGAACCTTGTTAATTTTGAGTAAACAACATCATAGCGCCTTTCAACGCATTATACATTAATAACTTAAAATTAGTTTTATTATATCAAATTTTAATACTTTTATTTAATAGTCTTTCAACCTTAGAATTGTTCATGAATACATGCTCCACCTATCCACCCAAACTCCAAATACACCCAAGACACTCACAAACCTTTTGCACAAAAGAACAAATCTCAGGTTGTTTGCTCACAAAGGTACAGAACACATTAAGACCAAATACAAGAAAATAAATTTTTACAAACACAAGATACACGTGGGAAGAATCTTGCGCAGTCAAAGAGAACTTTACATCACACCAAACAAAGAAACTCTTTCGTGTCTTATTTGGCTCAAAATAAAATTCAGTATTGACTAAAAAAAGAAAGAAAAAAGAAACTGATCCACCACATCACCAAGTTGGTTGCCTTTATCCTCCAACTTAGCAATCCAAGCACCACAATACCAACAATGAAGGCAAGAGCCTTAATCTCTTCCTTCCCAAAGCTCAAGAAAGAATTTCTCCCTCAAGAAGAAGTAGGATGCTAGGAGTGCTCTCAAGAAGGTTAGAAGATGCTCTCTAATGTTTCTTACACAAAGCTCTTGGATCCCTTAGCAGACTTTAACACCCACATGCTCTCAACCACAATAAGAAATCCAATGTTGCACAACCAATACAAAAGGAGACTCTTCAAATGATGCGGGAGAAAAATCATGAAAATTGAGGATAAAGATTCCCAAGTTTAATTTCCATCAAAATAGGCGTCACTTTGCAATTTCTATTGAGCATAAATTCGTTTTCATTGGAATTTCTATCATTTAAAAAATTTGACATACATATATCTAAGCACTGAAACGATGAAGATTTAAATTCCGTCATTTAAGAATTCTATACAATTTTCAATTCCTTCATCCAAATAAAAGGTAAGTGATTTTATGGAGAAGCACATAAGAGGTGTTTCTCTCTAGAATCACTTAAAATTATTTAAAGTGATTATATAGAAAATCATGTGGGAGATGCTTCTTCCCAGAAGTGATTTTGGTATATTCAGAATCACTCTCAAACGAGCTCTTAATCTCCTAATTTAAAATGTGTCCCATGATATTTGTTAAAAATTAAATATTAAAGGGTGTCCGTGAAATTAGTAATTTTTTTTGTTTTTTCCAACATGGGCTGGAGCTCACGACTCTAATAATAATGGAGGCCTTTAGGCCCAATCCATATTAAGCACAGACGACGACACAATCAAATTTTCTCTCTCTGCGGAGACGACGATATTCTCTCTCTGCGTCTCCTTGAAGCAGCTGAGTTAGCTTTGGCCTCAGAGAGAGACATTGATGGGTTCATCAGACATGGAGGAGAGGCCAAAGAAACTACTCATACTCTACGCGACTCAAACCGGAAACGCCTTAGACGTTGCCGAGCGAGTGGGCCGTGAAGCCGAGCGCAGAGGCTGCCCCGTCCACCTTATTTCCATCGACCAATACGACGCCGTAAGTCTTCCATTGCGTTCTTTTTTGTTTTCTTTGTGTTTTTGTTCTGGTAAACAATAATAAAACATGAATAAAAATTAGCACTTTCGCATATTAAGCTAATTTTTGCTGTTGCTTACCCTCTCAGAGTTGCTTAGCTCAAGAGGGCACTGTAATTTTTGTTGTTTTTAGCAGTAGACTTTTTACTTCCATTGATAGGTTTTCAGATTCTATTAGAAGACATGTTGCAAAATAATAATAATAATAATAATAATAATAATTTCCTTCAAGGAGATAACGGTTATGAAAACTTAGAACACATGACCCAAACAGGTTAACATGAGAGCGTAAGCAAGCAACAAGCAAGATCTTCATTTCACTTTGGATGTTATTTTTAACAGCAGCCAATTTTACTGCTCTGTATAGAAAAATTCAAAAGCAAAGCACATGGCCTTATACAGTGATACTAAATACAGCAACCGAGCTGAATTTACGTGACTTGGTGATGCCTTATTCTACAATTTGTAAGTGCACTAGTTGCTTAGTGGCAGTGCTCGTGAAGTGGGCTAAGTAACAAAAAATCACTTGGAATTAATCAGTTCGATTGTTTTTCATCTCTACGCCTCTGATGATTTCACTATAGACCATGAATTGGGTTCAATGTTTGATTATATATTTCAGGCGGTTGCGCGCCGGATGAATCGTCAAGCAAGCAATCCTGTCAGTGTTAGCGGTCCTCTTCCTGCAGAGGCGTGAGTCTACATGCATCACATAACCTTCCCACTTCCAGCAGCCTCCTAGGGCTCGGGCTGGGGGGGGAAGAGCCCAAAGTCAAGTTCCAGCAATAGAGGCTGGCCCGGGCTGGGTGGGGTCCACTAATCTGGGTTGGCCCGAAGGCAGGGGGAGCCCGAGTGTTGGCCCGAGGGCGTGGCTGATGTCATCGCTGATGCCAATGTGACGTCAGCAGGCGGGTTTAAATTTTTTTTACCGTTGGCGCCTGCAATGCACTCGCCAACGTTAAAAAAAATTTGCTACGCGCGCGTCAGCTGTCGTCTGCCACGTGGCGCAATCTGGTCCTCCGATTTCCAATTTTTCATCCAATCCAACGCCCTGGAATTTTTCAAGGCAAAAAATTACGAAAAAAAATCGTAAATTTTTTTTAAAAAACCCCAAAAATTACTGATTTTTTTTTCTATAAATACCAATCCTTACTCTTCACTTTTAACAACAAATTCACTTCTACTCAATAATTTTTTCACTTTCAACTCTAATTTTTTTTTACTTTCAAGTTTAATTTTTCTCTATCAAAGAAACTATTAAATAAAATTCTTTTATTCAAACATTCTATACATAAAAAAACTAACCACAACCAAAGCATTAAAAATATAAAAACAAACAAACCACAACCAAAGCATAAAAATTTCTCTATCAAAGAAACTATTAAATAAAATTCCTTTTTGAAATTCAGATGAAATTTATATGAAATTGAAAATTTGAAATTTATCTGAAATTTGAAACAAATATTTATCTGAAATTTGAAACCGAAAATCTTATCCGAATATTTTATCAGAAAATCTCATCCAAAAATATTGTCCAAATTAATTGTTTAGGTAAACAAATTTGTGAAAAAAACAAAAAATTGAATAGTACTTGCCCTTTGCCATGGCAACTGCTGGAAGTGCAATTTACTTTTTACAAAGGCAGATACTATTCACGTGAATAGTGTCTGTCCTAGCCCCCCCCTAACAATGGCAAGGGTTTGACTGCTGGAAGTGCCCTAAAGGCATTGCATAAACATATAGTTTCTCTCATCACCATGCCAGACGTGTTCCTCCTACTTAAGCAGGCAGCTGTAATGACATCTCTATTTGACACAGACTACCCGACTCTTGTGTTCCTTATTGTTGTTCTAATCATTTACGGTGGCGCGTTGATTGGTTCTACATACATACTCTACACTCCCCTTAATCCAAATTTGGCAAAATTCATTAGTAACATTAGCATCCTTTTTGGAGCTCTTGCCTTGGTTTTGGAATTGGTGATCCTAGTCCCGAATTTAGGGTTAGGCGCCCTATTCTTTTGGGTCGTTTGGTTTGTGAGCTTCGTAGTTGTTTACTCATCCCCGTACATCAAAACATTGTTTACAAGTGTAGTTGGAGGAGTTGTTCAAGCGTTTGAAAAATTGAAAGAATATCTGAACATGATCATTGCCTGATTCACAATGAAACCCACGGAGCAAAATGGGTTGCCATAAGTAAGTTAGTTATACATATACCAAGCTGCTAGTCAGATCAGTTTGCTTCAAATCTTTGTCTATGTGTTTGGCCCAAATTCTGCTCAAAATGAGCCTTGTTAAGTCATACTTGTTTGGTTTTCATTATGTCGTACCCCAAATCAACTTTCTTTCTTTGAAAGAAAGAGATCAATAAAAGGAGAATTCCAAGTTTTCAAGTAGCAAACTAAGTAAATTCAAAATGCGTTGGCAAGTTTTGAATTATAATTATAATTATAATTATTTTCAGTTACTTTTAACTTATTTACTTATTTAACTAAACTTGATGTATAATTTTGGGTGCAGATTCAAGAATTGTTTACGCTTAGAAATCGTTACTTATTTTGATTCAAACTTGATGTATTTCATTGTTTGTTACTCTCGTTACTTTCTTTGATTGATGTACTTCATGGTCATCATTTGTTGTTAATGGACTATATGATCATGCTTTTCTTCTACCACCTTTTCTTTTTTTAGTTGGAAGAAACATTGAGATTACAAAGCAATGATTATTTTATCTTATTCTTACGGAATTTCTCGTAGAGAATTGTTGTAAGTCATATAAATTGAACAGTGGACCACTTTCACCAATGAGTAGTAGTACAACACTAAGAAAGTGCAAGGCCAAAGTACAAACAAATGACAAGAAGCCAATGTTGTTATACAACAACCCAAACTAAACAAATAGCTATTTCAATCTAGGCACCAGAAAAAGAACCTAAAGAAATCCAATCCAAATTACAGTTGTCTTCCATTCTTGCAAATACACTGCCAGACAAACTTGAACCGTAAAAACATTAGAGAAACAAGCTCAAAGAGATGTACCATCCATCTCCCACAACATTCCTTCTCCTTCCATGGAATCTAAATGACACGCTGCAGTTCCATAAAAGTTTGAAGAGCATATCAAATGAAAGGAAATAAAGTGATTACTCAAAAGAAAGGAACTGCATTTAATCAAATGAAAGGAAATAAAGTGAAAACAAAGAAGCTATAAGACCCATCAGCTCAACAGTTACCTTCAGGGGAGGACATATATATATGCCAAAAATAAAATCCAAAGTTCTCACCCCCAGCAATAATATACTCAAATTGTAAGGTAAAACAAATAGCAAAAGAACAGAGCAATAATTATTATCCATTAATAATATACCCAAATCGAATGAACTCTCAAATATTAAGAAATAAAATCAGCATGTATTAATTGCAACAAGAAAATGCAAGAATGCTACATAAAAACAAACCTAAATCAAACCCTTTCCATCTCACAGCTTAAAACACAACAAGAACCCCAAAAGTGAAGAAAAAAAAAAAAACAAAAAAAAAAAAAAAAAAAAAAAAAAAAAAAAAAAACATTGATGTATTGATTCAGTAGTAAAGTAAGAAAAAATTAAAGAAAATTTAAAAATAAATAAACAAGAACATGCATTGCAATGCGCAACCGGTATCGGCTGCACCCGTCTTCCTTCCTTCTTAGAAATCGAAAAATAACAACATAGTTTTATGGCTGCACCATTCTTCCTTCTTCTTAGAACGATGGTGCATAAGTTTATTTTTATTTTTATTCAGAACGGTGGTTCAGATTTCGATTTCTTAAAACAAAAAAGAGAGTTGGTTACTAAAACGGGTTATACCATTGAATCTAGATGTAAACATTTCCCTCTTTTAAAAGACAGCCACATCATATGTCGTTATGCAATTAGTGTATTAATACACCAGAGCATATTAGGGGTCGTTTGATACAATGGATTGTCATGGATTGGACTAAATACTGGTATTACCTTGAATTGGCTTGACATTGCATAACGACACTTAACTTGCAGTAAGTTCGGACATACAAGTCTAAATCAACTAAACGAACAGAGTCAGATATGCAGATGTCTGATATTTGGTTATATGTTAATCCTATTGTCTTCCTGGAAAATATGATGATTAGTTGATAATACAATATTTGTTAAACCATCTGATATGCCATATCAAAATTGTTATTGATTAAATAAAACATATCTGAATCTGAATATGCAGTTCCAATTGGTAGTTTGATAATAAACCAATAAAGAAAACATTAAGCATCACCATGACAAGGAAACAACTCAGCCATTGCCTAAACAAGTGCAAGAAGTCTTTCCTCCAATCAAATAAAGTCTTAATTAACAAATTATTTCCAGTAGAAAATCTGTTACAGAAATAAATGTCAAAACACTAAGGATTTGTCCGTCCATATCCGGTGAGACATCTTGAGAAAGCACCCAAACAATGAGATTCTAAAAAGAAAATAATATAAAGGGACCCAGTAAACCACCGCCCTCTTATAATAAAGCTCACACTAAACACACAAAAAAGAATGGTCCCGCCTAGATTTTTCTTGATATATATATATATATATATATTTATTTATTTTACTTTTCTTCTCTCTCCATCTCTTTCCTCGTTTTCCTCTCTGCTTCACTTTCTTCTTCTTCCCATCTACATCTCTTTCATCTTCTTCTTCTCCATTTTCTCTCCTCTTCTTCTGTCTACTTTTCTTTTTCTTTTTTTTCGTAAATTCTCTCCTCTTCCCAGTTTTTTTCAAAAATTTTATCTCCTCTTCTCAGTTTTTTTCAAAAATTTTATCTCCTCTTCTCAGTTTTTTTCAAAAATTTTATCTCCTCTTCTTCTCCATTTTCTATCCACCCATCTTTTTATGCCCTAAAATTCGTCCCATCTCAACATACCCATTGATGTTGTTGGGGTGGTGAGAAGATTGGGACGATGATACAGTGACTTCGTTGTGGTGTTTGTTTTTTTTTTTAATTTCGAACGGGCTATGGCTGTTTGGAATGAAGATCCAGTGGCCATGGTGGATCTGTGAATCTGGTTGTGTAGTGGTGTGAGTGTGGGAGTAGATAAGGGAGCAAAAGAGAGATAGAGAGGTTGGACACTGGGCAGTGGCGTGGGGGTTGGGCTGGGCAATCTCTTGCGAGTTGCGGTCGCGATCGAGACGCGGGTTCCCCTAATAACACCAATAATGAGGTGTTTTTGGTCGGCCCGGGATCACCAATCCCACTTAAGCTTAGAACCGGATGAAATCAACATGTGATAAATTATTATCCACGCCAGTCAAAAGCCATGGGCTGTAACAAACGAACATCTATTTGACTACCTGAGCCCCCATGATGATTTTGTAAAGAGTCCACGGAATGTGAATTTCTTCAACGGCCATACGCAGAGCGAGTATAAGTATCATTCGAAACACTCGCTCCAAAAGCTCTTATTCCTCATCAAACACTACCTTCTCTGAATTTTACTTTTCCGGTACGTAGAAGGTCATTCCATTAGATATACAACTGTCAGACATTTACAAGTAAGTGCACTTCTTTTACAAGACCCAGAAAGAGATCCAGAAACTATACAAGTGTTTGATTATATATATATGTTGGCTTCTGATGTGCTTGTGCTGGCCTTTCTCCTCAATTCTGTTTTTATTTATTACTGTAGATTTAAGGCGGTTGCGCGAGGGATGAATCGTCAAGCAAGCAATCCTGTCAGTGTTAGCGGTCCTCTTCCTGCAGAGGCGTGAGTCTACATACATCACATACATACTTTCATACTACTATGGCTTTCATGCCAACTTATTGCTTTTGCTTCTTTCTCGGCATTGAAACAATATTGTGCTTCTTTTCTTACTTTGGCTCCCATTTAGCTGGTTGCATCTTCTTTTGTTTTTTTGGCAACTAAGCTTAGCTGCATCTAATATCCGTACAAATTTAACTGTGATATTTAGTTATATACCCATTCTTAGCATTAATAATATAAATAAACTATTCTCTTTTTTTTATATAACAAAAAGAGAAATTACAAAGAAAAACCACGCGGGCACACAAGCCCAAAAAGACAAAATTAAAAAAAAAACCCAAAAAATAACAGTTGGCCATATTAAATTTAATTTTGATTATTAAATTACTTTGATACTCTATTGAGTGTTTTGGGCTTTTTTTATGAGGTTTTGGGGTTGAGTTTGTTTTAAGAAATCAATGACAGTTTTGTAATTTAAAAGAAGTTAAAAACCCTTTTGTTATGTTGTAAATAGGTTTTGGGTGTGTTTCTAAAGTCTATTTCATATAAGGGTTATTTATTTATTTATTTATTTTTTAAAATTTATATAAAAATAATTTGGGCTCTTATATTAGATATAATAGTGAATCTTTGCCTTCGTTTCAGATCGTAGCTCAAATTAGTATTAAAGCAATGTGGGACCCATATTTTTCTTTTCTTTAAAAAAAAAATTTGAAAAACGTGTAAGTACTCTATTGGATGTGAGTTCAAGATCTATTATTCAGTAGCATGGAAGAAAATAGCAGTTAGGAGGGAGAGGCAGGTACGACAATGCACTTTGCAAAAGGCTTTAACCTTGAACCTTCCTACGTAAATTTTGCAAAGTTCTATATATCCGGATTAATTAATTTCTAGCCATGATATGTTATTTATTCTGATAAATACTGCTCATCATATTTTTTTTCTTACTAGTTAAAGATTACATATATAATATAAATAATCCTTTATTGCAAAGTCAATAACATTTTGAGATATTTAGTCATATACCAATTCTTAACACTAATATTATAGATAAACCCTATACCATTTAATTTCTATAAACGAACCCAAAAAAAACTCAAAAAATTATAGCTGTCCCCATTGAATTTAATTTTTATTATTAAATTACGTTGATATCTTATTGAGTGTTTTGGGCTTTTTTATGAAGTTTTGGAGTTGGGTTTGTTTTAACAAATCAATGACAGTTTTGTAATTTAAAAGTAGTTAAAAACCTTTTTGTTATGTTGTAAATGGGCTTTGAGTGTGTTTCTAAAGTCTATTTCATATATGGTTTTTTATTTATTTATAATTTGTGCTCCTATATTGGGTATATTAGTGAATCTCCCTAACATTTTCTCATTAATTGTAACAGCACAAGCAAAGAACCTTATATAAAGGCATTGCATAAATATATGGTTTCTCTCATCTTCATGCAAGGCGTGTTCCTCCAATTAAAGCAGACATCCGGAATGACATCTCTATTTGACACAGACTACTCGACTCTTGTGATCCTTATTGTTGCTCTAATCATTTACGGTGGCTCGTTGATTGGTTATACATACATATTCTACGCTGACCTTAATCCAAATTTGGCAAAATTCATGAGTAACATTGGCCTCCTTTTTGGAGCTCTTGCCTTGGTTTTGGAATTGGTGATCCTTGTCCCGATTTTAGGGTTAGGCTTCCTCTTCTTTTGGGTCATTTGGTTTGTGAGCTTTGTAGTTGTTTGCTTGTCCCCATACGTCAAAACATTGTTTACAAGTGCTGTTGGAGGAGTCATTCAAGCGTTTGAAAAATTGAAAGAATATCTAAACATGATCATTGCCTGTTTCACAATGGAACCCGAGGAGCAAAATGGGCTGCCATAAGTAAGTTAGTTATATATACCAAGCTGCAAGCCAGATCAGTTTGCTTCAAATCTTTGTCTTTGTGTTTGGCCCAAATTATGCTCAAAATGGGCCTCGTTAAGTCACACTTGTTTGGTTTTCATTATGTTGTGCCTCGAATAAACTTTCTTTCTTTGAAAGAAAGGGATCAATAAAAGGAGAATTCCAAGTTTTCAAGTAGCAAACTAAGTAAATTCCAAATGCATTGGCAAGTTTTGAATTTGGGGCTTTGTGGAGCTTTTGGTTTTTGATTGCTGTGATTAAGTTGTACCAATGAGAGTGCAGTTGTTTTAAAAAGATTGCACCGGTGTGCAGTTGAGTGACGATGGCACCCCCAACATTTTTAAATTGTAACTTCTAATTTATATGATATAATATGGAACCTTGTTAATTTTGAGTAGGAATGGGCGCGGTCCGGTTCGGTCCAGTTCGCAGCTCACACCGGAATCAGAACTGGTATTGTTCATCCGGTCTGGTCTGGTCCGGTTTTTGAAAAAAAACAGGAGACAAACCGGATCAAGCCGAACTGGTAATTTCCGGTCCAGTTTCCATTTGATATAAATGATAGAAAATCATTAGTAACATACACAGTAGACAATAAGAAAAAAAAACATAAATTTGGATAAACAATTCTTACTTTTCTGCTAAAAAAATATTCGATTTTTCCTTTCATTTTCTCAGATGGCCGACATATAAATAACCCTAAACAATCTAATACCAAGTAGACCAGAAATCATAAACACACCAAATCTAATGAAACTCACACATAAAAATGAATACAACATCAGATCTAATGAAACCACCAAAAAATAAAAAATAAAAAAAATACAACACCAGATTTCTCCTTGCATGAGACTTTGATGCTTGAATCGAGTCCTAGGATCTTCGTTACCAGCATATGAAGAAGGCTCCAAGAAAGTTTTGGGAAGAGAAAAGAAAGAGAAAAAAATAGAGAGTTTAAGTGGGATTGGAATGGGCTTTGAAAATAAAATGTACATGGATTTTAAAGTTGGGCTTTTTATTTGGGTTAAATTGAATTGGGCTTAAATATAAGATATTTTAAAATAAATAAATAAAAAATTAATATAATCGGTCCGGTCCGGTTCTGTAGTGTATAAAACTGGAATCGAAACCGGTTCAAACCGGTTCGGTGTCAATTTGTTGACTTTTTTAGTCAACCGGTTTCTTTTCCGGTTTTTTCTATTCAGTTCGGTCCGGTCTTCCGGTTTTCCGGTTCAAATGCCCACCCCTAATTTTGAGTAAACAACATCACATCGTCTTTCAATGCATTATACACGAATAACTTAAAATTAGTTTTAATATCAATTTTTAATAGTCTTTCAACCTTACAATTGTTCATGAATACATGCTACACCCACCCACCCAAACTCCAATACATCTATGACACTCACAAACCTATTACACAAAAAAACAAATCTCAGGTTGTTTGCTCACAAAGGTGTAGAACACATTAAGACCAAATACAAAGGAAATAAATTTCTACAAACACAAGGAACAAGTGGGAAGAATCTTGCGTAGTCAAAGAGAACTTTACATCACACCAAACAAAGAAACTCTTCGTATCTTATTTGGCTCAAAATAAAATTCAGTATTGACTGAAAAAAGAAAGAAAAAAGAAACTGATCCACCACATCACCAAGTTGGTTGCCTTTATCCTCCAACTTAGCAATCTAAGCACCACAACACCAATAATGAAGGAAGAGCTTTAATCTCTTCCTTCCCAAAGCTCAAGAAAGAATTTCCCCCTAAAGAAGAAGTAGGATGCTAGGAGTGCTCTCAAGAAGGTTAGAACATGCTCTCTAATGTTTCTTACACAAAGCTCTTGGATCCCTTGGCAGACTTTAGTACCCACATGCTCTCAACCACAATAAGAAATCCAATGCTGCACAACCAATACAAAAGGAGACTCTTCAAATGATGCGGGAGAAAAATCATGAAAATTGAGGATCAAGATTCTCAAGTTTAATTTACGTCAAAAGAGGTGTCATTTTGCAATTTCTATTGAGCAGGAATTCGTTTTCACTGTAATTTCTATCATTTAAAAAATTTGACATACATAAATCCAAGTACTGAAACGATGAAGATTTAAATTCCACCATTTAAGAATTTTATACAATTTTCAATTTCTTCATCCTAATAAAAGGTAAGTAGTTTTAAGTGATTTTATGGAGAAGCACATAAAAGGTGTTTCTCTCCATAATCACTTAAAATTATTTAAAGTGATTATATAGAGAATCATGTATGAGATGCTTCTTCCCAGAAGTGATTTTGGTATATCCAAAATCACTCCCAAACTAGCCTTTAATCTCCTAGTTTAAAATGTGTCCCATGATATTTGTTAAAAATTAAATATTAATGGGTGTCCGTGAAATTAGTAGTTTTATTTTTATTTTTTTCCAACATGGGCTGGAGCTCATGACTTTAATAATAATGGTGGCCTTTAGGCCCAATCCATATTAAGCACGGACGACGACACAATCAAATTTTCTCTCACGCTGCAGAGACGACGAAATTCTCTCTCTGCGTCTCCTTGAAGCAGTTGAGTTAGCTTTGGCCTTAGAGAGAGACATTGGTGGGTTCATCAGACATGGAGGAGAGGCCAAAGAAACTACTCATACTCTACGCGACTCAAACCGGAAACGCCTTAGACGTTGCCGAGCGAGCAGGCCGTGAAGCCGAGCGCAGAGGCTGCCCCGTCCACCTTCTTTCCATCGACCAATACGACGCCGTATGTCTTCCATCGCATTATTTTTTGTTTTCTTTGTTTTTTGTTCTGGTAAACAATAATAAAACATGAATAAAAATTAGCACTTTCGAATATTAAGCTAATTTTTGGTGTTGCCTACCGTCTCAGAGTTGCTTAGCTCAAGAGGGCACTGTAATTTTTGTTGTTTCAACTACAGGCCAGGGGGATACTCCTGATCCCATGAAGGTTTGCCTTTTCTTAGCATTTCAGTTATTTATTTACAACAATTACTAAATACTATATACTTTTTGAGAGAGGCCTAGTTGTTTATTTTTGCTTATGTACATATTTATGTGTATGCAGGGATTTTGGAAATATCTTCTGCAGAGAAATCTAAGTGGGCAATGGCTTGAAGGACTTCATTATGCTGTTTTTGGATTGGGGGATTCTGGTTACCAGAAATTTAATGTAAAGTGACTAGTCTTTAATGTGATTGATCAGCACCCATCAGTAACATTATTATACCTTCTTGTTGATTCCGTATGAGAATTTTTGATTCCCTTCTTGTTGTTTGCAATTACCTTCTTGTTGTTTGCAAACGTCATTATTATACATATGAATCATTATAAAACATGTTTTTTTAGCAGTAGACTTTTTTACTTCCATGATAGGTTTTTTTTCAAAAAAAAAAAATCCTTTCTTTCTTTCCTTTAACCCTTTGAACCAAAATCAGTTCTATGTTAGACATGGAATGTTCAATACCACAGTGTCATTTCTGTTAAGCTCATCCTTGCATACAGTTTGTATGTAGTGTCTAATTAAGCCATGCCTTTGTGGTTTTCTCAGACTTGAATCACATTGCGTTGCAGATTGAAAGGGCTCGCAGAGTGTCTCCTGTAAAGTTTTCTCAAACATGTATAAAAATTCTTGTGTCAATCTGATAGTAACACCTAAGTGTGCAGATACAACATACTATAACCAAAACAAGTAATTGATGAAGAGAGTGAAGACCAAAATAACAGTCTATATTTTGCAATTTTGCAATTTTCTTCAAGGAGATAACGGTTATGAAAACTTGGAACACATGACCTAAACAGGTTAACATCAGAGCGTAAGCAAGCAACAACCAAGATCTTCATTTCACTGCTCTATATAGAAAAATTCAAAAGCAAAGCACATGGCCTTATACAGTCAAAGCATAAAATTCATAAATAGAAACAAAAATAAGTACTCACGAATCAGCGGGAGCTGCAACAGCAGGAGTCTCAACGACAGGCTGTGACCTGGACACTTACAAAAGGGCCGTTTAATGCCAAAAATACATACGTTAACAGTTACAAGTCTTGAGTAAAAACAATTACAGATGAATGCTTCAAAAGAAAATCATTAAATCAAAAGCTACAAGTGTGAGGCAACACTCACTCTGCCACAGCTCGCACAGGAGCTGGAGTTGCTACTGGTGGTGCTGTCGAGGTAGGAGTACTAGCAGGTTGAGCCTACAAAATCATGGCCCATATAAGAAAACATCATATTGTCAGCTAGTCAAACCTAGGACTCAATTTTTTCTCAATTGTTTTGCTGTCAACTACCTTTTATTTATTTATTTATCTTCTCTGTCATTGTCTAATGCATTGCATACGAGAAATTCCAATGCCGCACTTTTAAATACGCCCTTCTATAAAAACAGGGAAATATCCCCACCCCCAATTTGAACCAATTGCTATTTCTTATAGTTCCAGAATTAAATTCATGTATACGACCCATAAAGTCAATGAGATTTTATCTTAATTCCTTTTTAAAAAAGTTTCTTTTACACAAGAGTATGATTTATGAACTTTCAACTCCGTCCTCGTTTACAATCTTTACTAAAAAGCATTTATCAATGAATGATACTTATCGTGAAAATATTTTTATTTTTATTTTTGAATATAAGCGATAATTTAAATTATAAGGGGAAAATAAATTTCTCACATATACTACCAACGTGTCATGAAGGTTCAAACTTAAGCCAATTGGTCACAAGTCAAGGCCATTTTCTATTGACTTAAATTTTATTGGCTCTTTACTTCTATTTTAGTATTCATCTCATCGTAGAATTCATCTCATGACAGGACCCGCCCGGGAATTTTCCCCGAAACCGGGGCGGACCCCGTTTTGTTGCCGACATCACACCGATGCCGGGCCCACTTACTAAAATCCAAGACATCCTACCAAAAATTTTGGCAGAGTCTCCCCTGTAAGATGCTCAAACCCAACAACATTCAACCTGCATAAT